TGCTGCTCCCCTGGTTTGTTCCTTCCCCTCCTCCGCAGAGCCCCAGAAAACATGTGAATCACACACCTCCCACACCTCCCACTCGTGGGTACACCCCATTCTCACGGCATGATTTAAGAGGCCTGGAGCTAGGACCCGTCTTTGGTGGCCCTTTATTTTGTTTTGCCAATCCCAGTCATGGTAAACAATTTCCCTTGTGTGTTCTTTGGTTTCCACTGCTCCAACCACTGCCTCTGCAGCCTCCAACATCTCCCATGTGAGGGATGCTACAGCCCCAGCTTGTCCCTTCTCCCAAGGGTCCTAAACGCCAACATAACCTATACAAACAGAAATATGCCATTCCCCCACTTAACCCCCAGTGCCCCACTGATCTGCCTCCATGCCCACCCTGCCACCTGAAGCTGCCATGACTATCCCCCTCCTCACATCCACTCATCCTCACAACCCCTTCCCACCTGACTTCCAGCTCCCATGTTCCATGACCCCACTTTCTCTTTGCTGATGCTTAAAACAAAACAAAACAAAACACAGAAGATGGCACACTTTATGTTTTGGAATAATTTTGGATCCACAGAAAAGTAGTAAAGATAGTACACAGAATCCCTGCCAACCCCTCACCTAGTTTCCCATAACAAGGTGTATCTGCCAAAACTAGGAAACCAACATTGGTTTTTGGTGTTTTTCCAACCTATTTTTAACGAAGAAAGCCTGAAGCTAAGCAGGTGACCAAAGTCACTCCCACTGCTGTGAAGAGGGATGGCTGGCCAGAGTGTGCCCTCTGGATCTCTCCAAGCTGAGAGAGGCATAATAAAGTGACTTCCTGGACACCCTTAGTTGGCCTTTGGTGACCTCAAGGTTGGGACCCTCTGTCCAATACACTTAACGCCCATAGCCTTTACCCTGGTAGAGACCATGACTTCACACTCTGATCCCAGAAGGGGCTGTGATGGAGGTCAGTGGGAGAAAAAGAAGAAATACCATCTATCATATCAGTCTTGCCTCAAAGTTCAACTCACCTGCCAAGAAGAAAGCATTTTCTACTGAAAATGAAGCTAGGTAAAAGGCATCAGAAATCGTACATTGTGTGTTTCCCTCCAAGAAACAATTTATCAGTGCTATAGAGCTGTCAGCTGCTGACATGATAAGGAATAACACCAAATGAATAATGTTTCCTCCAAAACCAACTCCTTTAATTACAAGCCTCTTCTTTCCAGAAGAGAGACAAAAGATGCAGAAACACCAATTTCATGCACTTGTGCCTGAATAATGTCTCCATGCTGCTTTTTCCAGATGGCAACCTTCTCACTGGAGGGACTAATGATGTGGGCATATTTAGGGAAAAACCAATAACGGAGTCTTTAACCTTCAACAACAAAAAACGTGTTGTACAAAATGTTCCTTGGGATACATTAGAAAATATCAATTACATTGCTCACTGAGGTGTAATCAGCTGTAATAATCAAAATTAATTTTTAAAAATAATTAAACAGACCCCAGGGCAAATAGTTGTGCTCTTATCCTATGACATCACAGTGTACATATGTACCTGAGAAGTTGTGCCTTCTGTTAGCAACAAAGGCATCTAGCATGGATGAGTGACGGATGCGGGCTCTATAGGCTGGTGAGTTTCTTCCCACAGAAAGAAGGGAGAGCCCTGGGCAGCTCCCTACATTCTTTAAGAACCTTCTATGTACTGCCAGGCACTGTACCCACCCCAGACTGAGTTACTGGTAGGAGATGCTGCTCAGCAAAGATACAGTTACTCTTTTTAAATTAAAGCATGGTCCACTTTGTTTCAAAAATGATTTGTCTTTTAAAATTCCACAAGACAGAATAAGCTATAGAAAAGATAGGCTGGAGGTAAAACGGGGTTCAACCAAGAAGGAAGAAGTGTGTGCAAATACATGTGTGCTTGTACATGTGTTTGCAAAAATTTATCTCATCGGGCATGTGCGGTTAACCAAGTTGGGCCAGCCTTATCTCTCTGGCTTCCAAGTGCCCAAATGAAAGAGGAAAACATAACGGTGTCAGAAGTTCTCCTTTTTATAAGTTGCTGCAGAAAAGCACAGTCCTTCCTGGTGCTAACAGCTGAGGGACTCATACCCTGAGGCTGTCTGGCCCCCACTGCCGTCCAGCCACACTGGCGTCTGCTGTCCTAGGACCTCCAACACACTCCCGCCTTGGTGCCTGTGCCCGGTGGACCTCCCTGCCTGACCATTCTTTCCCAGAGTCACAAGGCTCCTATCCTTCCTCATTTCTCTGCTCTCACACCTCCTTCCCAGAGAAGACTTCTGGCCACCTCCATCTAAGTGGCCCAGCACCTCTCTCTTCACCCCATCCCACTTACTGCTCCATTTTTCCGTGTTGCAATTAGCACCCCAACATTACAAACTTCTTTATCTGTTTATTGTCTATCTTTACCTCCTAGAATGCAGTCTCCTTGTAAGCAGAAAATATGCTGGTTTTTCCTTCTGTAACCTCAGTACTTAGAGCAGAGGACTGAATAAGCACTCAATAAAAATTTGTGGAGTGAATGAATGGATGGATGAGACCTCAACTGCTGTAGAAGACATCTTCAGCAGTTTGCCTTCACCAAAGACAAAGCCAACTTCCAATATTCTTTCTTCCAGATCTCTCAATGTGAGTCAAGAACAAACTGCTATTATACAAATCATCTGTAAACTGACATGGCTCCAAACATTGCTGTCTACTCAAGCTTCTTTCAGATGTACTGTTTCTCAACAAACCTCCCTAGGACTCAGAGCTACTAAACTGTGCCAGAGACAGTGACCTGGCAAGAGACAGTATCAATAGTGCAGGGGTTCCCATAAAATACATGTGAACACCCAGCATCCCAGTTGTCACTTCCGAAGCTGCCCAGCCAGACTAACCTGTCCTCCTGGGGACAATGACCAATTAACTTGGTCAAGGAGTTAGAAGCTTCAGGGAAGCGGGGCTGGATCCTTCCTGCTACAAATGACACTGGTCAGGAGCAAGTGCTTGGGCACAAGTAGGGATGTTCCTGCTTCCAAGATTGGGGCAGCTGAACCATGTGTGGGATGGTCTTCACTTTGAGCTATAAAGTAAACTGGAATTTTGTAAACTGTTCTATTTCTAAAGCACTTACACATTCCAAGTGCTTCCACATAGTCTAGTGTAAGCAGAGCACAGTTCTGGTTTGAAGTTCAGGAATCAAAGCTCTGAGAGGTTATGAAGTTGTCTAAGTGTGTGCTCAGCAGTGCACAGACTATGAATGACGATCCCATTTCCACTCTGCCACTTCCTGGCTGCAAAGCCCTTGACTCTTTTTTTTTTTAGATTTTATCACACATCTATAAAATGAGACTAAAAATAGTTGTGTGATGTAGCTGGCACAGAAACCTCAGTTATTCACTCACTCAGTCAGCCAGTAAGTCTGTAGGCAAATATAATGAGCAGTGTCTTCCACAAGCCAATTCACTGAGGACACAGCCTGCCTTCAGCTCTGAACACCGTGGGCCCAGCCAGCCTAGTCAATTTCATTTTCTGTCTTCCTTTCCATCTTGGGCTTTCTCTGCTTGTCCTGAAGTCTACTGTTTCTGAAGCTTGGAAAGAAGAAGCTCCCCTTCCCCAAGAGGTCTGGGTACTTGCAGGCAGCTCCTCATTCCTCTCTTCTCCCAGCATCCAACAATGGCGCCCTCCCCATCATGCATTGACCAGAGTGGACAACTAGACCCGTGGTGACAGCAGGGCCTAGATTCTGAGCACATAGCATATGGAGCCAACCTCACTCTCCAAAGTTATATGGGCAGAGTTCGAATTGTGTAATGTATCTGCCAACCATCTACCCCACTTCCTGGGGAGTCCCTTCTCACAGTTTCCCACAGGTATTTGTCCCACTGTGGAGGTCAGGAGATAAATGACTCAGAGGAGTTAAGTGAATTTCCAAAGGTCTCTTGATCCTAAGGCTATGACTATTGAAGGACTACCTTCTGCCTCTAAAGGTAAGTCAGTGACTCCAGCTTTAGAATATATGACAGATTGTGTTCTCCAAGGAGAGCCTCGGCATTATTTCCAATACGATGTGCTCTTGCAGAAACTTGCCACCTCCCTACCAGGAGGTAGAGTCTTTTGCCTTCCCCATGAATCTGGGAAGAGTTTTGTGCTTGTCTGGACCAAAAATGACTGCTGCAGAGGTGATGTTGCATAGCTTCCAAAGCTGGGTAATGAAAGTCAATGGGGCCTCCACCTTTCTCTCTCCCTTTTTCCATTTTTCTCTCTCTTCTTCTCCTTCACTATGGAAATGTAAAATTCAGCCACTAGGTAGTAAGGAAGCTTAAGAGGCATGAAGAAGTCATGTGTAGGTGTTCTGGTCAACAGTCTCTGCCAGAGCCAGCAGCAAACCCCAGATGTGTAAGTGAGTTTTCCCATGATCTTACCTAAGGCCATCATGGAGTAGAGACACCCCTAACTACTACTGTGCTCCAGATTCCTTACCACAGCATGCACAATCACACACACATACACAAAATCATGTCAGTATTATTGAGTTTTAGGTTGGTTTGATATGCAGTTTTTGAGACATGGATTAGAAAACCCCAACGGCTCATCCCCACATGGTCAAGAAAACCGACCACCATGTCTCCCAAAAATGGCACCAGCTCTTCGGTCCCCCTTTGCTGCGCTCACACACCCAGCTCCTGCGGAGCTGTGGGTTAGGGCTCTTGTAGTACACCTGACTCAAAGAAAATGGGCACGAGGATTGGTTTGTTTTAATGCCTTAAGGAACAGCTGCTCTTGGCACTCAAGTGGAGCCCATATTAACTTCCGGCTAAAACTAACCTAAGACCTAACTCCCTTAGATGTAGCCTCTACTGGGAAGCCATGTGCATTACCCTTGAATGTTTGGAAGGACACAGAAACAGATTATATCCGGTGACAAGAGAGAGAGAGAAGACATGACACATGGGTATTTGAAGCAAATGTCTGATGGTCTCTAAGGCAAAGGGGTCTGGGCTCACCTCTGCTTTGCACTCAGGGTCCTTGGTCTGCCGCCCAGGCATCAGCCTCATGGCTGAGGACAAGCTTCCACTCCACGAAGAAACTTTGCCATGGTATCCAACGTTTGAGCGACTGGCCAATGACTTCTTTTCAGATGCTGATGATAGAGAAGCAAAGACATCAGAGCTGAAGTTAAGAGGGAGACACACATGATTTCTATAGCTTGCTTGACTTTCAAAGGGCCATCCAGGGGCACAAGCCCAGTGTGCCTGTCTCCAATAAGGGAAACAATCTAGCCTAAAAGTTTGAATCATTATGAATTTTTTGATGCTGAGAAACTTAAAAACAAGTATGTGAGTCATAACTTGTGAGTAATGACCTCTTTAAAATGAAACTTAAGACATCATTCCTACAATGGCATTGACTAATATGAGAGTAAAAATGTTGAGTAGCTGATAGAATGCAAAAGATGTTAATATCTTTGGGATGAAGACTTTTACTTGGAACTTGAAAAACCTGAGACTCCAGGTCACTGCATGACTTGGCACAAGGTTTCAAACTGGATATGTGAATATCAGTGCAGGACCTAAAGCCCTAAATTCCAGAGTCCAAGCTAGAGCTCCAACGTGTGGCCCTTTCCTCTAAGAGATTACTAGAGTCTGCTTGCTTGATTGACACGTCTGGCCTTCCTTTCATCTGAGATGCAAAGCAGCATTAGTTCTTTGAGCAAAGACTTATGAGGCTTCAGTGATGTAAATCCCACCCACCAAAGGGATGAGAGAGAAGGTGTGGTGTAAAAGGCTCTGGGCCCTGAGTGGAACTCTGGGGGAACCTGGCTCTTTGAGACTCAGAAGTTCTGTTCTCTGAAGCCAAGTAGACAGAGACCTAGGTAATGCTGCCAGGCCTTGAGCATTGTCTCTTCCCAGAGTGGGGTGATCTCCTCAATCTTCACTTCACTCTCTCCAGGTTTCACAGAAAGATCAATCTTGAAGGTATCCTCCAGTTCCTGCCGCCTCTGTGCCACGAGCTGCTGCCAGAGAGTTCGTACAGTCTTCTGGATGTTGTGCTGAACTAATGGAGAGAGTACATCACACAATCAGAGCAGCCTCAGTGCTTCCCACAGAGAAAATCAGGAGATGGCATATCATGTTCCTTTCATGTGCACCTTTCTTGGACATCATCTCAGCTTTGCAAGCTCCAGCCAGAAAGCTGTCAGTATGTAGAACCGTAGGACAAGGACAATAGCTACCAACATCCTTGTGACCTGGCCTCTCCCTCATCACCACCATCAAATCCTGCCTGCCTCACATGTCCAGAGCTGGGAAACATGATTGATGGGCTCAGTGAGCCTCTTTCTCCCATCCCCAATTCTGTTAGATACCAAACAGAGAGATACCCTGTGTAAGCTCTAGGTAACAAAATAGCCCCCCCAAAATAGCTCCTTCTAACCTTGACTTTCATGTCAGCCCCTTAGGGGCATGGACACTGAACCTAAGACTGTACCCAGGGGCCCAGGAACCAAGCAAATCCTCTCTGTTCATACTTCCAATTACCTACCCATCCAGTGCCCAGGATTTTCAGGGAGATGGACAAATCTAGCAAGCCAGTTGTAACTGTTCTGCACCTAACCTTCTACTCTTAACTGTGCCTGTCTTCTGATTTTGTGTCACTTGACTCCCTCTTCAGTACCAGCCTCTATAGTTTGTTTTTCTCACCCCAGGGAAATGGACATTGTTCAGTCCACTCTGCTAGTTAAATCCCAAAATGCAAGTATTCATGCTGTAATTAAGACTGCAGCAGCATAAACTCTAAACACACAAGATTTTTGAGCACTGGCTTTGGGCACAGGTCTGACCAAAAAATAAGGGCCCTTGTCCCTTCCACCTGGCATCACAAGACATCACAAGGTAAGTGTCACAGCCAGCCAGCTAAAATGGTGGAAGAAGGTCTGCTGAGGCATTCTGGATCAAGAGGGAGAAATTTCTCAGATACAGGGATCTGGCTGCCTTTTCCTCCCCCCACAAAGTGCCAATCCCTGTAACTTGATTTGATGCTATCAAATCCAAGAATAAAATACAGTAAGCCAAATATCTTATAAACTAATGAGTTGCTTTATTTCATTCCCATTTTCTAGAGTAGAAAGCTGAGAGACAGCTAGGTAATGGCTTGAACTGAGTCAGATAGCATACCCATTTCCACATCTATGGTCCAAAGAAAAGAGATCAGCTAAGAAGTTAAATCAACTTACAATGACGTTCTCAGGCTTTAGTTAGTATACGAAGTTCTTAGTCTCACCAAGTCCCACAGAACTTTCCCTTTATCCATCCGTACATATGTCCATCCATTCTATTTCTTGTATACAAAGATCATTCCAATTTTATTCTCTACCACGTTACCTTGCTATATTATTATATTGTTCTAGGACCTCTTCTGGCCTTAAAGAATCTTCTTCATAGTATTTGCTCCCTTGTCTTAGGGGGAAAAAAAATGAAAAATGCAGCCCTAGCAATTACCACTATCCGTCTACTCCTCCACAAACAACAAATAAAATGTACCATCGCTCAAGCTTGGGAATTCTTCCCCTCTTTTTTCTCTTGTTTCTTCATTTGGAGAAAGAAAGACTTGATGATAAGGAGTCATTCTAGGCTTGGGTTCCAATCCAAATCCTTCTGGATAACTAGTAGAGAAGAGATTGTTCATCATGAACAGCAGTTTCTTTGGGATCATTTCACTGTTCTTTGTTACAAATAATTATCCTGCAAACTCAGTACACATCAACATGAAAAAAGAAAAAAAAAAACTTGTCTAATCAAGTTAGAGCAAGCATCTATGACAATTTCCATGACAGATATTTTACAGAAGCATTCTGGAAAATAATAATTTAAAAAGCTGTCTTTTTATTTCTATCTTATTAAATCCCATCTATGCTCCTAACAGGCCCCCTCCACCCTCTCTTGGTTTTCCTATTATGAGAAGTGGTCATTTCTTTTTGCAGACTCCTGAAACACTGAAATCTGCCTTTCCTTGGCACTAATCTCATTCCTTGTGGAATGGGGCCAGGGCCAGCTTCATGGGCCTATGACTCAGGCAATTGTGTGTGGGCCTCACTCAGAAGGGTCCCATGCTCGGGCTCTGCTGTTGCAACCTCGAAATTCTTAGTAATTTTTGAACAAGAACCCTGTATTTATATTCTGCTGAAAACCCACATGTCATATAGCTGGTTCTAAGTAGGGTGCAGCAGTTCACATCTTAGGTTCCCTATGGGCCACGTGCTCCAGAATTCCTGGAACTGTTCATGTCCAAGTGCCCTCTTCTCTGGACCCATCACCCAACCAAGCAGAAGAGACAGAACATGTTTGTGGATTGAACCAAAAATGAGAAACAAGGGTATGAAAAAATACCAGTGTATGAGAATGCCCATTATTGAAATTTCTAGGATAAAGTCCCTTTGGGTTTTGGAGGTCTCTTTGCCACATAGAGGGATTTGAGGAGGGCAGCTCTAACCTTCTAGCACTGAGCAGCAGAAGACAGTGCATGAGGCACATGAGGAAGCTGGCGTTGGAATTATAGGTGGCAAACACAATGTCCCAGTGTTCCTGAAGAAAGCCCAGGATGCTGAGGAGGCTGAGGCATTCGGAGAGGGACTGGTGGGGCTTGGAGAGGCTATAAAGAATAACTTTATTTAAACTGCTGTACAGAGCACTGATGACAGTGTCCTTCTGAGAAGAGGCGTTCTCGATGACCTGTGTCATAAAATAAACACACATACACACACATACTTGGGAACACCTTGAAGTTTAGATACCAACCCAGTTAATCAGGAAAATGATACAATCTCAGATTCTTTTCTGTATTTCAAAACATGACATTTCTAAAATCGAAAAAGGACTACTTCCTCTACCTTGGATCTTCTATTTAAGTGGATGACCAATAAAGGGAATTCAAACATTTAAGTTCACCAAAACTGGTATAAAAAATTAAAAGTTTACCACAGTCAAATTATGTAAAGCAGACTATGTAAAGTGGGGACCAGAGATTTCCGTGTTACTAACGTAACACAGTTGACATTCCATATACAAGAACTAATAGCATCTAGTGTTAAAAACATGTTATTAACTATTTTTTTTTGTTATTAACTATTAATACTTGTTGTCAGGCATAGATTGTTATGCTATTCCAGTTACCATGCTAAGTATTTTTGCATTTGTTTGCATATGTCTACATATATTGCTTCATTTAAACATCATAACAATATCATGAAGTAGACACTAAGATTATCACACTTTAGGGATTAAAAAGGCTGAGAGTTTGAAGGATGGGAGAGATAGGTGGTCAGCAAGAGTAAAACCTATACCAAACACTTGAGTCATCCTCTTAACCACTGTATCTTCTAAAGGAGATGTGCACTCAAATATCCATGGACTTCAGTATGTGAGAGATTTTAGAGGGTTAAGGCAGAAGGTCCTGATTTCTGGTCTGAACATTGAAGCCATCATCTGCTTGACTTCGTTGAAAAGAATCCATAGAACAAATGTTGTGTGCAAAACTTTCCAGTAGATCAGAAGGGTCATTTGTTACTTTTAGATTGCTCTCTTCAAATTTCATAGGTAATGCAAGTTTTATACTAATTAAGTGTTATTTAAATCTGCTGGATTTGGGGCTCATGTTTTTATCATCATCCTCTCATCCTCTACATCATCCTCTCCTCCTTTGAAATATGGGTCACATCTTTCAAACTGAGGTTAAGAGCAGTGAGAGTCACAGGTGGTGAGCAGGAGAGAAGGGTGGTAGATGTGGGTAGTGAGAGTCCTGGGGCCTGGCACCCTGCTGAACACACATCAGCCCCAGGAGGCAGCAACTCTTTGCTATTAGCTCTGAGTATTTGCTTTGATCACTAGGGAGCTGCTATGGATTAAATGTTAGTATCACCCCCAAATTCATATGTTGAAACTCTAGTATTGTAATGTGATGTATTCAGAGATGGAATGTGATGTATTTAGAGATGGGATCTCTTGATCTTGAGGATGGAGCCCTCAGGGTGGGATTAATGCCCTTATAGGAAGAAACAGGTGAGCTTGCATGCTCGCTCTCTCTCTAGCATGTTGAGGGTACAATGAGACCATCTCTAAAACCAGAAAAAGAGCCCTCAGAGGACACCAGATCAGCTGGCACTTTGATCTTGGACTTCCCAACCTCTATAACTCTGAGAAATAAACGTTTGCTGCTAAGTTCCTCATCTAAGGCATTCCGTAATAGGAACCCAGACTCACTAAGAGAGGAACTTGGTGGCTACTCTCATTCTCGACACAGCCTCCCAATAATCTGATTTTAATCCCTTTGGAGCTGACAAGGGATATTTCTGCCTTCTTGGAGCTATTTTTGAAGAAGCCTCTGAATATCTTCTTTTCAGGTTGCCTAGAACTGAGCATCAGCCAGACTGAATACCACTCGAGGAACTGTGCCGAGGCCCTGTCCTGGAGCATGCAGGTGCCTCCACAGACAGAAGGTGCTGGGGGCGCTGGTGTCACTCTCTCTACAAGGTGTGAAGAGGAAGGAGAGGGGCTTCCCTGGATCCTGCTGCAGGGAACACACCGGGAGCTGTGGGCACAAGCTTCTGGAGGCAGATCTCAGCTTGTAAGAGAAAGTGTTTTCCAACCATCACAGGTGTCCTGCTGCCTTGAACCCCCTCATACCACAGAGAGCTCCTCACAAAAAAGTGAACAGCCACTTGTCAGGAAAGGTTTCCAGAATGAAATGGGAAGCAGCAAGGAGCAAGAAAGAGTTCAACTCTGGCATTCTGAGATTTTATGAATCTGTGTGTATGCATGTGTACACACATACAATAAAGAATGTGTACACATGTGCACACACAGAGATTTACATATAAGCATGTATTTGCAGGCATGCATTGACATGTGTGGATATGTATATAGATATAGAGAGAGAGAGAACACATGCAAGAAAAATAGGACAAAATAAAAACAGACTTTGGCTTCAATTTCAGGAAGGCCCAAATATGACAAACCAGAAGTGGATCTTATAGAAGAAAATGAAATCGAACTTTTGGCCGCAAAGACCTTTTTGACAGTTTGTTGATGAGGAATAACAATAATTAGGCTGAAATCCAATACTTTGGCCACCTGATGTAAAGAGCTAACTAATTGAAAAAGACCCTGAATCTGGGAAAGACTGAAGGTTAAAGGAGAAAGGGGAGACAGGATGAGATGGTTAGATAGCATCATCGTCTCAATGGACATGAATTTGAGCAAACTCTGGGAGATAGTGGAGGACAGAGGAGCCTGGTACACTATAGTCCATGGGGTCACAAAGAGTCAGATATGACTTAGCAACTGAACAGCAATAACAAAAAAGATTAAACTAACATTCACAATAAAAAGCCAAAGCGGGCATGCAGAGTCTGGGAGGGGACAGAGCTGAGGTGCGTGTGCGGCAGGCTGTGGCCTCAGTGACTGAGGTGTATCTCAGGTGGTCCAAGGAGGGAACACTGCAGGGTGCTAAGTGTTACCTGGGCGGTAAAGGTCCTCCTCCTTCCTCCCACCCATCTCAGATTCTATTTCCAGGAAGGACAGCAGGTCAGTCTGGACCAAGTGGACAGCAATCAGCATTGTGTCATACAGACACCTCCTCAGCAGGCACCTTACCACCACGGCTAATGTCAGGTTCTTACCACCATGATGTGCTCCGTGATAAAGAGAAGGATGTGTCTGGGGTCTGCTGAGAACATTCCACTGTACAGCTTCTCCACCAGCTTCTGGATGAAGTGGGAGATGTTGGCAAGTGAAGGAGCAGCAGCAGTTTCTGCATTCAGCTGAGGCTCTCTACTGCCTGGAGGGTGAGAGAGGGTGACAGACCAAGGCTGAGAAATCAGCAGTCTGAATTGCCTTCTTTGCACAACAGTCTCCAAGCTCCTCTTGGGAACCAGCCACATCTTAACCTCTGTACATCTCATTGTAATCTGTATAACCGTTGCTTCAAAAACAGGATCTTATACACTGTAGGTACCCAATGAATACATGTTTATTCAGAGAGATATTGAACAATCAGTGATACGAACCAAGTGGGAGGAAGCAAGTGAGGAGCAGCACATCCTCGTGACCATTTGGAAGAAGAGTGGATGGGAATTTAAGGCATAGGTAGTGGGAAGGCTGTCATGGTGACTCAAGTCCCTGATGTTATGTGGGGAAGAGGATGAAGCTGTAGGATCAGATCGCCCATCTGTGTTCACCAACACAGCACATGTTGTTCTCAGATATGGATGCAAGCATCTCAGTTAATCCTCATTAACAACCCTCTAAGTTACCCACGACTGTCCCCCGCACTCACATGGTCCAGCCTCTAGCTGGAGTAATGCCACCGTCCAGTCATAGAGCCACACTCAGAACTGGGCTACCAAGCTTACACTTTCCATCACTCCACTACCCTACCATACTCAGATAGCCCAGAAAACCAAAAGTCAGGGTTTCCTCACTGTGGGGCAAGAGAATCCAGGATACCAGTCATGTCAATAAGGATTCCATGGCTCAGGAACCACAGAAAGAACTTTCGTACAATCTTGTTGGGAAGTTATAGCTGCCCCAGACCCAAATGTTCTGAATGAAGTTTCAATTTGAACTTCTTTGGGGCAATGGCAGCATCTTCATCCAAGTTCATTCATTTAAGAATTGTTTACTATGCCCAGGCATAGGGGAGCAAAAGAATGTTCAATTCAGGTGGACATTTTGACTCCCCTCATAAGAAGAAAATTTTATAATGAAGCTAGAGGATAACTGGTGTTAGCTCAGAGGACAAGACTTTCTGTCTCTGATTGAATCAGGAATGGCAGGGGTGACATGGAAAGTAGTAAGAAGGCCATTCCATGGGTCTCCGGGCAGAGTCACTGAGCTCTTATTGCAGACAGAGGGAGGGCAGTTTCCTGTGGTTCCTAAAGCATCCACAGTCCTGCAGCCTAGTCTTCCTCTAGGGTTCTGGGGTCAGCAGTTGGCAGGAGGTGGCTTCTTACTCAGCTGTCAGCAACTTTGTGTCATAAACCAGGAGGAATAAGTCATCTACCCACACTTACCTCTCAGCATCGATGCATGACCTCCACTCATCAAGTGAAATATTTCCATGGTGGAAAGCAAGATCTCAGACTGAAAGTCCCGCTTCTGTTGACTGGTGGCATTGTCTGGAGAAGCCTGGAAGCAAACCCTGAACTAGACACCAGCCACATGTCCCTCATTTCCACTCAGTGCCCATCATGTCCACTCAGTCCCTCTCCTGATCCATATGCTAACACTGCAGCTGCTGGGAGTGTGGACAGCCAACAGCTCACAAGTGCCCCTTCTCTGGGGCATTGCCCTCTGCTGATCAAGTTGCTTCACCCAGGAGGCAACGCCCACTTCCCAGGACAAGTGGTGGTGGGAGGGGGGGCAACAGGTAATGACCACCTTGCATGTACCTCAAGGTGGGGCCAACTCTGGGATGCAGATATAGCACACCTCAGCTCCCCTTAGAACCAAGCTACTTCTGAAGCCAGGTCCTGCCTAGTTTCTCCCTCATCGTCCTCTACATCCCTTCTCAGCTTTCCTGAGAGCACCACCCCCAATAAATCACTTCCAGAAAATCTCTACCTCAGACTCTGTTTCTAGAGACCTGGCTAAGACCTGCCCTCTTTCATCTCTTCACCTGTTGCTTGGTGAGCTCCCTCTGCTGGGGACTGTGGTTCCCTGAAGACTCCCTCCCACCAATCACTGCAGTCCCGGGAGATGTTCCTGACCACCAACCAGCTGGCATGGACATGTGAGTGAGCTCTCTCAAGAGACTGGCCCTTGGGGCTCTCTGGGCATACCCAACCCTCTTGGTGCCCACACCCTCCCCAGTCTGTTCCCACGACACAGGCCCGAATGCAGACCTTTCTAACCCACCTCGAGAAGCACCTCCAGGGGCATCCACTGCTTTGGGTTTGGAGCCCCAAGCAAGAACTCCCTCAAGAGTAGCTGCATGAATTCCTTCAGCTGCTTCCGGGTGGGATGTGACTCGGCAGGAGCCTGTAGACCCTCTGCGGTGGTGTCACCTTCAGCCTCAGCCTCGGGACTGCTGGGGTTCTGGGCAGACTCAGTCATGGCCCCCTCAAAGACAAGAGAATACCAGCATAAGTTGCCTGCCCTGCCCCAAAGCACTCACATCTGACATGTGCATGGTGGGATTCTCATCAAACCATTAACACGTAAGGAAACTGAGGCTCCGAGAAGGTAGGCGGGCTGAGGTGGCCTGCTGTGACTTCTGAACCTGTGGTGGGCAGAAGCTGGGCACAGAGCTAGAGAAACTAGTAGCACTCAGCGAGGAAGCCCAGGATGTGTTCCAGGCAAGGCATTTCCCTCCCTGGTGCCATAGCTCCCTATCAGTCAACTGGTAATGATGGAAAGGAACACACAAAGAGTGTGAGGATGAGATGAGAAATCTTGCATACAGCATGCCTGGCTCTGGTATATGGTCAAGATAGCTGGTTCCCACCTTTCTGTGGGGTCCTCACCTTTACTGCCTGCCAGGCTCTGATGTTGTTGACCCTCAAGTGGAAAGAGAAGTGGGACTAGAGCCAGTCCTGACATCTAAGACCCCGAAGTGCCTTGGTCTTCACTTTCTCAGTTTTACATTACAAAAATATTGGGAGATAAATGTGATGGGAGTCATTAGCCTAGATACATCTGGGAAGACATGGAGATGATGGGAGGCCAGATGACATACCCAAGGACACGCGGCCAGGGACTCCTGACTCCTGGCCCATGAACTTTTCATGCAAGTTCGTCTGCTGGCACCTCCCTTGGCTCATTCATAAAATTAATGCAGCCATTCTTAATTAAGCTGTAAAATGAATTTAATGGCACCTAGGGAGGTGGTTGACTGTATTAATTAGCTCCATGTGGCCTTGGCTGGATAGATGCCATATAAAATCGTAGCAAATAGAAATCCTTTTGGCCACCTGCCTTCTGCACGAAAACGGGTCTGTCACATGTTCTGTGCAACAAAGGACTTTTGGAGCTGACTTGGAGCTGAAAGGAGGCCAGGAGGTGCTGGGATAAGAGTTCTGGAACCAGGGCCTGTCTCATCCACGGTCAACTGGCAGGTGACCTTGGGCCAGGCTCTCCCTCAGGTGGGAACTACTGAGTGTAGCCCTGGGTCAGGGCTCTGTGGCTACTGGCGGGGAGCTGGCTGGAACCCTGACTCAGCAGATGGCGAGCCTGGCCTGTGGGCATAGGGACTGAGGTGGTGATCTGGACTCAGAATGTCAGACCATCAACTTAAGGTCCTGTCCCCCTCCAGGTGAGGGGAATGGTGAGGGGCTGTCTGTAGAACCCTGCTTCCTCCCTGCCTGGCCGGGGGGCGCCTAGCTTCTGGGTAGAGGTCCCATCCCCCACCCCCTCCAGTGCTGCCTTTGATCTTTTTTGCATCTTTTTTTTTTTTACTTACTTTTCTAGTATGTTGCTTTAGTTGGTATTAACACATCAAAACATCTTATCTTTTTGCAAATCTTCTGGTCTTTATAATTAGTCTTTTTATTAAAACTAAACACTTAAATTTTATTAGGTGATTTATTGTTATTTTAAACTGACTGATGGAAACGAATAGGTTTCGGGGTGAGAGACTGAGGTGTAAATCTTGGCTTAGTCACCTATGAATCACATAAGCTGCGGCATGTTTCATTTCCTCAACCCTTTCGACCCTTTCGTGAGATGGGTCTCATGGCCCCACTAACCCGGGAGGGAGCTAGTCTGTGGAGCTTCACCTCCCTGAATCTCGCCTCCACCTTTAACACCTGCATCGGGCCTGTTAGGGGATGTGAAGCACCAGGCTCAGGAGATGGAGGCTGGCACCATGAATACACTACCAGAAAGGCTTAGCTAAAAGAGCATATTCATCCACTTGGCCATTTAGCAAATAATTATGGAGCAAACATTACTTGCCCTCATTGTGCTTGGGATGACTTCTGGATCCTCTACTTACCAATATGCCTAACGTATTCCTTTGGATACAGTTACTGATTTGCAGACAGGAATCGATAATTCACTCTCCTTGGTTAGGTCTCAGCTCCTATTCCACCAAGGCAGGTAAAGAGCAGATTTCTGCCCTTCCTTCTCCAGCACCTCCCTTCACACTGGTCCTCACTTGCTTCTCTCAGCTCCCAGATGCTCCACACTCATGAGTCCCCTTGACCAGCTGGGACTGGCTCTTGCCCTTAAACTCACTCATATCTCTTCCCATAGTGGCCTCTCTACCCCCACACTGACACCTTGTCCTCAAGACGCTGTTGGTCCCTCTGCCCTCCCATCTGGGCCTCGGCAAGCCCTCTGATTGAAAGGCACCATAGCCTGCAAATAGAACAAGGGTCCTGCAAAGAAGACGGGACCCTGTGGCAGTTCCACCCTTCCCCTAGCTGGGGCACCAGCTGTGGGCTTCCTGGAAAGGAATCTGTGGTTTCCTCATGCTCCATGTGTGGGTATTCTGTGTTGATCTGGACTTAATCTACCATCAAATTTCTCATCACTGAGATTCCTGACAACTCAAAAACTTATTGAATCACAGAACCGAAAATGACCTGAAGCTGTACCTCATAAAGAGAAGGAAAACTACCGAAGTTGTTTACTTAAGGTTTTGGCTAGGTTGACTTAAAATGTATTTTCCTTTGGGGAGGGGTGTGAAGGCATTTTGTCCTTGAAGGGTGATGATGCTCACCCCTGCCCTCACCAGGACAAGGAGGAGGTGTGTCTTACCTTCTGGGTTCCCAGGGGGAAGGTGACTGCAGCCAAGGTCTGGAGGAACTCCGGGGCCCGCCAGGCTGGATCCTGGGGGTAGGTGCCGTGCACAAGGCCAAGGAACTGCAACACACTGGTCGGGAATGTCCGTTCCCAGGCACTATCTCCAGAACCTGTCGAGGGCTGAGGACATGCTTCATGAGAGGCAGCACGTGGGGGCACAACTTGGGCTGCATAGGAGCCAGAGGACTTGAAATCTAGAGATACCTCCTTTCTGAGCCTCTCAACAAGACACCTTATTGCAAGACTCCTAGTAATAATATGACCTATTTCTTAAGATTGTGGTGAGAATTAAATGAGACATTTTAGTGCTTCAAGCTTATTTTCACAGTGACTAGTACAGGGTAAATATAGAAGAAGCAGGGAGATAAGGTCAGATCCCTGGTGGCTCAGATGGTAAAGCATCTGCCTGCAATGCAGGAGACCCAGGTTCAATCCTGGGTCAGGAAGATGCTCTGGAGAAGGAAGTGGCAACCCACTCCAGTACTCTTGCCTGGAGAAGTCCATGGACTGAGGAGCCTGGTAGGCTACAGTCCATGGGGCTGCAAAGAGTCGGAGACGACTGAGCGACTTCACATAGAGGATTTGGACTTTTGGAAGAATTTGATCAGGCATCCCCTGAAGATGCTTAGGCAAGTGACCAGGCTGGATCCTGGGGGTAGGTGCCCCAGAATGAAATATTATTGCTGGACACACGTGTTTCCACCATGCTCTCGCCCTGTGATCCTGCCTGAGTGAGTTAACCTCCACAGCATCTATATTTGCACAAGAAAGAAAATGCTGTCTGCTCTCAAAGACAGTTGCACACAGCAGAATGGCTAACATCTGCAAGACCAACAGTGCTAAACAATGACAAGGACCTGTAGCAACTAGAACCTTCCCAGAATAAGAGTTAGTGAGTGTAAACTGACTATTTTGGAGACTGTTTGGCAATATCTCCTAAAACAAATCATGTGTACAGTTTAACCACAGTTTCATGCCAGGTATATTTCTAACAGAAAGAAGTGTGTATGTCCACCAAAAGATATGTACATAGCAGCTTTATTCATAATATTTCCAAATGGAAACAACCCAGAAGGAATAAGCGCTGATCCATTATCACAATAAAATACTACTGAACAGTAAAAAATAAATAAATAAATAAAGAACTACAAACATATACAACATAAGCAAATTCCACTCATGTTGAGTGAACTCAGTCATGTCGGACTCTTTGCAACCCCATGGACTATACAGTCCATGGAATTCTCCAGGCCAGAATACTGGAGTGAGTAGCCATTCCTTTCTCCAGGGGATCTTCCCAACCTAGGGATCGACCCCATATCTCCTGCATTGCAGGCAGATTCTTTACCAGCTGAGCCACAAGGGAAGCCCTGAGTGAAAGAAGCGAGATGCCAAAGGGTACATATTGTAGGATTCCACTGATACCAAGCTCAAGAAAAGGCAAACAAATCTATGGTTACCACTGTGCAAGGGAATAACAGCAAGCAAAGTAAAGTTATAAGCAAAATAAATAAACTGAGAAAGATATTCACTACAATTTTACTTCTGATCTTCTCTTATCCTTTCAGTTTTTGCCTTTTAGATTTTGATGCTTGTCTACCATATTTGGTAAATGATGCTTTCATGGCAGATAGCTTCACTGAACCAAAGTCTGCCTCTGGCTTTGCTTTTGTTATATGTTTGTTAGATCCCAGAAGACTGTTTAAGGGTGATGTCTGTTATACAACAGTTAGCCATTTTATGTTTGCTATTATAAAGTAAATGTTTGGTCTTCCTTTTTTACTTCTGTCAGCATACTAGGCATTTTCTTCACTTTAAATGCTTTCATGTTATTTTTTTGGTTTGATTTTTCTAAATAGCATTGATTTTAAAAGTAATAAACTTTCTATGCTTCAAAACAAATTTTTTCAGGCATCCTCAAATTAACTGCACATTAGGTCTACAAGAGAGCCATGAATAAATTTCCCAGAGATGGAAAGTGTAAAGATTGTTTGCTCTGACTAGGACAAAAATAAACTGGAAATAAATAGCAGCAATTAAAAAAAAAAGTTTAACTACATGGACATTGAAAAAGATGAATCAAAAAGGTCTCTTTTTTTAATAAAAAAGTTCTTTAAATCTGCAACCACAGAAACACTAGAAAACAACAACAAAAAATGAAGATATCAAATACCAAAATTTTAGAACTAGCCAGAAAAAAATGAAGGGGAATGACATATATATCCAAAGTTTTTTTTTTTTCCAGTTGTTTTTTATAAATCCACAAATCTTCAGCTCCTTAAGCAATAGGATGGGTGAGGTAAAGAAAGGGCATGAACTTACAAATTAAGAATAAGAAGAGGAAAATAATCACAAAGAAAATTAAATGAATTAAAGGAGACCATTTATGCAAACTGAATACTTGGGAAGATTTTTTAAAAATATCAATTACCTAAATTAGGTCAAGGAGATATTTAAAAGCCTAAGCAAGTTGATAAAATAAAAAAATTCAGGCCGAAGCTGTTTCATGGGAATGATTTAAATAATATGAGTCATGGATTTAGCATCTTCTTGAATAAAAGAATCTTTTTTAATAAAACTAGCATAATACTGATATCAAAACTTGACAACATGTGAAAAAAGAAAACTGAAACCTAATATCACTTATGAACATGACTGCAAAATCATAAATAAAACATTTACAAGCAGAATAAGGAAATATGCTAAAAGAATAAGAACAGAGTGACAAAGTGATATCTTTGCAAGAATGCAAGGAAACCTATTGATATAATTCATCAGAGGTAACTGGTTAAAAGAAAAAAAAATGTAATCATTTAAATACAGGCTAAAAGAGTATTTATTTTTTTATTTTTGTATTTAATCTTAATTGGAGGATAACTGTCTTACAATGTTATGGTGTTAGTTTCTACCATACAGCAACATGAATCAGCTATAAGTGTATATAGATATATGTCCCGTCCCTCTTGAGGCTGTGAGGACGGCGCCAAGCACATCTGTACAAGACTGTGGGATGTATGTCAGGAGGAATATATACATATAATGTCTATTGCAATCTTCCTGAGAAAGAGAACACGTGAAGTGCACCTTGAGCCAATATTCCACATCCTGGAATTTATACCAAGGGGGTCATCAAACTAGAAAGAAAAGATATCTTCTCAAGAAAGCTCATCACAGACTTTTTATAACAATGAGTGTTCTGAGAAACAATACAAATTTCCATCTACAAATATAGATGATTCCCAACAACATGTTGGGGGAAAAAAGGCAAGAGGAAATATGTGGCTCCCATTGTGGCTCAGACAGTGAAGAATCTGCCTGTGATGTGGGAGACCTGGGTTCAATCCCTGGATTGGGACGATCCCCTGGAGAAGGGAATGGCTATCCACTCCAGTGTTCTGGCCTAGAGAATTCCATGGACAGAGGAGCCTGGCAGGTTAGAGTCTGTGGGGTCGCAAAGAGTCAGACATGACTGGGTGACCAACACTTTCAGGAATTTATGTGGTCTGATTCCCTAAGGACATGGTATACTCTTAGGTGTCTGAAAGATATTCTACTAATGTTCACAGTGGTTATCTCTGGTTGGGTATGCTTCAGGTGATTTTTACTTTCTACTTTTTTTCCCTTTATTTTAAAGGTAATCATGCATCATATTACAGAAGCAATTAGGTTTCCACACATATCAAACCTCCAGTTGCCTTTAGAGTCTATAGAATGAAGCCAGAATTTTTCATGGGTGTTCTTGTTACCTGGTCCACAATTAGTTCTACTCACAAGCCACATGGCCTTTACCTTCAGTTCTAAAATAACCTCTCCACCCACCTTCAAGGTGGACCTGGAAGGCCTGAATCAAAGGCTCTCCATGTCACGTCTGCAGCTGGCAGGCATCTGTCTTCTCTAAGACAGGTCTCTGTCTGGTGGGTCCCTCGTGAGAGGCCCACCTGTCCTGATAGAGGTGAACTACTTGAGGGAAGAGGCCCCTGAAGGGAAGGGACCACAGGGCCCTTGAAACTCTCAACTCAAAGCAGTTGCCCAGAAATGTTCCCTTTGACTGGAGGCCTTAAATCTCCCAGTGAAGAAAGTCAAATGTTTAAACAAATGGAAAACAGATGTCTTCTGGTAAGAACACATAAACTCCACTGGGGACATTAAGGCTGGGTTTCCCATTGAGCACCTAAGTTATCACCTTGCCTCTTCTATCAAAAGTTCTGAATAATACCTGCAAATTATCAGCACTACCAGAAAGTTGCTGGGAAAAGTCAAGGCTGACTTTTCTGAGCCTGTCTTCCCATCAGAACCCCTCTCAGCATGTGGGGAATGGGTCTCACCTGGTTCATGGTGGCTTTCAGCATCTCTAGGAGCAGCAGGGCGCCTTCAGCACACAGCCCTGCCCGGAGGACTTCTTCCCTGTGGTGTTTATGCAAGAGCCACTGAAGCATGGCATCCAGGCTGTCCTGAAAGAGGAGGCAAGTGCTATCAGAGACCTGTGGGTACCACCAAAGAGACTGGCTTTCCATCCAGTATGCCATGTTTCTCTGGGGACCCCAGTGAGAAAGACAAAACAGCACAGATGACTGGTCCACTAGAGGAATTTCAGCCCACTGATGGAGCATAAGGGAAACACACATGTCTAAAATAGGCTGCAGACCCACCAGCACCTGGCATTGGGTCTGACATCAGAAATACTCAATCTCCCAATCAACTTTAATGAATTTTTGTAAATGAGATTGCAGAAAACATGTCAAATTCAAAGGCTTTGGGGCAAGTGCAATCAGGAAAGAGAGCATGGGGTTGACAAGCAGGATGATCTGACTTTGCTTCTTTAAAAGCTGGGCTTATGCAAGCTATTTAGCCTCTTGGCAGTTCAGTCTCCTTCTCTGTGAAATGAAACTTACATTATCTGCCCCATGGGATTTTTATAAATATCAAGTGAAATAAACTATGTAAAACATCTGTCATGGGGCCTGACATTCAGCAAATGTTTGTTTCCTGAGCCACAGTATGGAAAAAAAATACAAGTTTTCGATGAATTTATCAGAGTATGTTAAGAACTTGATTTTGAAGTGTGATCTGTAATACTATTAACATATATCAAGATTGAGATAGGTCAAATATAAGGATATGCAAGAAGTGAAATTTTCAGTCCTCAGCAAAGCTGTGCCCCTCCAATGATGTCAATACAGTGCAGTTTAACTCAAGTCTATCAAGACCAAGAAACAATTTCTGAGTCTGTTTATCAGGTGCTCAGGAGGGTGAGCAAGAGGCGGGGTTTGTTCTTGATGTGCTCAGCATCTATGGAGAGAAGCAGCCATAAACGTGCTGCTGCTTATACAAGGCGAAGGCGTGATGAGGCCTGAGAGAGAAGGGTTCCCACTGTCTAGGGGGTCTCAGCTCGAGGTCTCATCTGAGTGGAGAACTAAGGAAAGATAGCTTTCCAGGAAGGTGCGATGGGAGAGGGATCCTTAAAGGCCCAGGGCAGGCAAGCGCAAAGCAGGTGGTCTTACTGGGGAGGTGACTCAGGAGGATCACAGAACAAAGGGCCAATAAAAAAAGGAAGATGGGCTGGGAGACAAGTGAAATCCCAATCAGGGAGGGGCTTGATGCTGCCTGGGGACTGGGAACCTGATCCCACAGGAACAGGAGCCAACGAAACCTCGGATTTGGTGCAAGTCAGTGATCTAGTGAGTGAGAAGCTAGTGAGAAGGTATCCACAGTGAGTGGAGACTCCTCTTTGGAGGAGGAACAGGAGAGCAATACACAGGACAGCAGTTGGTCAAAAGTGTGAGCCAAGGGGGCAACTTCTGGTTTTAGGTGGAACATAATTTATCATACTTACAGTCAATGAGGAAAGAATCAGTAGAAAAGGAGATGCTGAAAATACAGAGAAAGGATAATAAGGCATGCAGTCACTTGGGAAAGGAGTGGAAGGAACACAGATCAGCCTTAAAAAGGTGACTTTGCCAGTGACAGTGAGAGAAGGTGATAAAGTTGGTCTTGGAATACACAAGTGATGGAAGGTGGAGTCCTGAGGCCATGCCCCCTCATGGGGGCTTCCATTCTACCATTATTTAAGTCATCTGAGCAAAGGGTAGCTGTGGGCCAGAAGACTCAGGGCGTGTAAGGTTCACACTAGAATGCAGGGGCATTACTAACGTACAGGGACATGTTTCTTTGAAGGTGATAAAATGAGGCTCTATGCCTGCGGTGGCAGCAATTCAACCTCCCCATGTTGCCCCCACCATCATGTGATTTGTCTACCCAGAAGGAGAAAAACTTAAAAGTGGAACTGATAAAAAACAGAGATCTGCTGGGAGGGACAAAGGAGGCAGAGGCTGAGGAAGTCAAGGATATTTGAAGAGCAAGCAAGGAGGTGGGACTGCTAGGGAGGGAAGTGGGTCAGGATGAAAGTTGGAAGACATGGAGGAAGGTGAGGAGAGTCTTGGGGGATATAGAAATCAGAAACCCAAGTGTTGTCACTCCATCCTGAGAGCCCCTGGAGCCTACCTTGGGCCCATCCACCAGCTCTGTAAGTGGTGTCTGTAGGAAGAAGGTGGACACGATGAGGTAGACTTCTGGAATATGAACATGGTAGGCCAAAAAGTCACTCAAGACCCGGAACCCAGGAAGCAGGCAGGGGCTTTGGTCAGGCGTTGCAGGATGGCTCTTCAGGTTATCTATCGATCAGGGAGAAGTGCACAAAATCCAGCTGAGAACAATTGCTTCTGGTCAACATGGGGATTGGGCACAGGAAGGGATTCTCTCCCACCAACCCATCCTACAGACCCGCCAGACGGAAATACGTCATACATATAGAGCACAAGAATGTGCTCAATAAGAATTTCTTTTCCTATTTCTGATGTGCTCATTCATTCATTCAAACATAGATGCTTATCTGGTGCCTACCACCTTAGAGGTGGCAAGATCTCTTTGCATAGGCAATAAGAATGTAGTGTTCTGATAAAATATACAGAACCCTGGGCCTTCATCAACTACTTACAATGTGGTGGGAGGAACAGACATTACAGAATTAAATACCTAAATAAAAATATGCTTGTAAACTATGATAAACCCTCCCCCCAAAAAAAGAAAGAAAGAAAGTATAACAGAGGTGCCCTAATTGACATGGGACCCTCCTCTCCTGGAGGAAGTGACATAAAATCGAGACCCAGCCCAGAGAGCTGTGCTGGAGTTGAGGGTTGGGGAAGCACCTCTGCAAGAAGGAAAGAGTTAAGGAGACTTTGAGGAGTGGAAAGAAGTCCCCAGCATCTAAAGAGCAGTGAGGCCATGTGGGGAGGAGTCTGAAAAAGGAAGTTAGAGGTAGGGGAAGGGGTCAAGGTCAAGGTGACGCTATAGCAGGCAATGTGAAGGCCCCTTAGTCCTGGCAGGTCCTCATTCACAGGTGGCACCCTGTCTCCTGGAGATGGCCACACACTCACCCATAACGATGTCCATGCCCTCAGAGCTCCGTTCCACCCAGGAACCTGCAGGCAGGCCATCTTTAAATCGCCCTCGGAGGGAGGGGCTTGACAAAAAGTGCAGCAGCAGCTTCAAGCCCAGCACCACTGTGCTGGGGTGCACATGGCCCTGCACGAAGAGCAGGAACCAGTCGGACCCCAGGTTCAGAAACATCTCTTCCTTTGTCCTGGTGGGGAAGGAGGTCAATAAATGCTACAAATTATCTCTCAGCCCATAAGCAAATGACATGTCCAGAAAATACAAATAACATCCAGCTTCTTTAGTCACCTAGAAAAGGCAGGTTAAGGTTAACATCTGGACATCACTCAGCAAAGCATATATTACATTTTAAAAGATCGGTAATGTTGGCAAGGCTGCTGTGAAAGAGGTGAATTTGCCCACTAATGGCTGAAGCATAAGTGGGCCACTGCTTTTGAAATATATTGGAAACTGTTACCAAATGACAAAGCCCTGCTCACTAATATTCATACTTACACAGTGTCTGACTGGCCACCCACTAATTACATCAACGTAGTCACATAAAAGACATCATGGTTACTTAACTCCCTTTTAAAATACACTGTTCAGAATTAATCTTAATGGAATAGTTCACTATTTATGCATCTTTATTGGTTTAGACAAAAAAGTGTTTAACTGTCACTTTCAATAGTGAACTTTAAAATGATGTGTCTAGAGAATACAGACTTGCTAGAGGGAACTAGAGGACAGAGAGATGGGAGCCGATGCTCAAGGGCAATTGTTCAGCAAAACCTGAGTCTCCTGAGAGCCAGGAAAGTGTCCATCCTGGCTGGGCAGCATTCTCAGCATCAGTTGCAGATTAGGTGAGATGAGGGCATGGCCACTGAAACCAGGAGTCAAGAGATGGTTCTCTCTTTTAGTCATGACTTCGTTTAGTAATTGGATGACTTTGGTGAACTCTGATCATCTTCCTTCAATATGATGATGAAGAGGATGATGGAAGTGACTGTGGTGATGAGGATGATGGAGATGATGTTGGTGGTGGTGATGATGATGATGAAGATGATGGTGGTGACAGCGGTGGTGGTGATGGTGATGGTAGTTAGCTGTTGGAGTTTATATAGTATCCCAGGCACCATGCTCAGAGTTATCCATCTATTAATTTCTGTCTATGGCAGATACTACTTTTATCTTCACAAAGATGAGTAGAAGAGAGACACAGAGGGCTTAGGTCACCTCCCTAAGGTCCCTGAGGGCAGAGCTGGGATTTGAACCCAGGAGGTGAAGTTGTCAGAGCCCAAGTGCTTAAGCACTACATTACATTCCTTTTCAAAAAGGTGAAAAGGTAGAGACTAGCTCATCTCCCTGGGTCAGGAAGATCCTCTAGAGGAGGGCATGGCAACCCACTCCAGTACTCTTCTTGCCTGGAGAATCCCATGGACAGAGCAGCCTGGCAGGCTGCAGTCCATTGGGTCGCACAGAGTCGGACACGAATGAAGCGATTCAGCACGCATGCAGCTCACCTCCAAGGCATCTTTCAGCTCTACTATGCACTGATTCTAGAAATCTAGAGACTTTTAAATTACTATGTACAAGGCTGATTTACTGAGGGGTAACCCCCCACCCTGATGCCTCCCAGCTCAAACCACATACACACTAAAAGGTCAAGCTTAGTGAGAGTAGGATCTGGACTGACTTTTTCAGCATGGCATTCTCGGAAGGAGGAACAGTGTCTGGCACACAGTAGGTATTCAACAAATAGCTATTGAATTAGTGACTCCAGAGCCGAGATAAAGCAGGCGGTCCAAGAGAGTTAATGGAATTTTATGATTGCATGTTGTTTTGAAAGTTAACTGAAGGCAGATACTTCTTTTTCCAACTTGGAAAAATAACTGAATGGCTAACAGTAAATAGCAGAAGAATTTGGCAAGCCTTTTCCTTGATAGATGTTATTTCGGCTAACCATTTCTCCATTCTATTGTCTGCCAAGTATAGGACATCAAAATCAGTAATTATCACAACTGCCAAGACAATAACAATTACACTATAGCAATGGTGACAAGAAGAGTTTATTGTAATGATAGCAAATCTGTTTCGAGTTACTCATGCCATTTAACATTTGCATCAGAATATCTTAGGGCAAGGTCTGCTTTATTAGGTGGAGAGAATATAATTTTCTTTCTGACTAGCGCAGGAAATCAACTCAGAGATGCTAAACTTTTCATTAAGAATAGGTTTTAATACTGCACCCTGTATGAAACAGCCTTGTGGCAAATCACTCTTTCTGGAACTACTTACTCAGAGGACAGATGAAGTTGGGAAGAAGATATTACACTGAGCAGCATCTCCAGCAACTGGTTTCTGAGCCAGATTGTCTTTCCAGATGTTTGGCTTCCAGCTACAAAAAAAGAAGATTCAGATTTGAGAGAAAACGGATGTAAAGAGACATAATATTTGCTGCAGTAGGCAATCATATTCACCAAATGCTCACTTCTCCCAGGAGTTGAGACATGCATGGGACTTGAAATTTTTGGCTTTCAATTCTAGATTTCCATGTAATGCTTAAAAAGAATTTCTGGAAATGTTTCTAAAGTTTCCTTTAACTAGAGATGTTTATGATGCTCCCCATAGCCCACCACCCCCCCAAAAAAATCCTAAAAATGATAGGGTCAAATTTTTCTTCCAGTAGAAAGAGTTTTAAAATTATCATGGACTGTAACATTTCCTGAGCACCTACTATGTGCTGGGCATTATGCCAGGCAGTGGGAGCAGAGTGGTGAAGATTATGGTACTCAGTCTGGGTCCCTGCTCTAGTCTAGGACTTTTGCATGTCTATGCTGCACTAAAAAATAGAGCTTGAATTGCAGCAAGAGGTATGTGGATTCAATGGGAGAAGAAACTTTACTTCTGAAGTGTTATTATGACCTTGAAGGACAAACAAATACTGTCTTCGTAGATAATTAGCTAGATAAAAGTTTTAGAATGGAGTCCCCATGAGAAGGAGGGTTGACTACATAGTATATTGTTGGCTAATTATCCATTCATTCAGCCCCTTGATTGGCCAGTTATTTTACCGCCAATTCAGGGCACACAGCATGCTGTAGAAATAGAACTGATGAGGCAGCTTGGAGAAATGGAGTCAGAGTACCCTTTGTTTGGATTCTGGCCCCTTCTCTCTTTAAGGTCCTAGTCTCTGAGTCTCCGTTTTCTCATCTGCAAAATGGGAATAGCAATTCCTACTTTTCAGGCTTGATCTAAGGATAAGAGATAATTTATCTGGATTGAATGACATTAGCCAAGAGAATCTTCTGTGATAAGAGTGCTCTCTATCTGCCCTGTCTAATACAGTAACCACTAGCTTCACATGATTATTTAGCACTTGGAACATGGCTAGTGTAACTGAGGAACTGAATTTTTAGTCGCATTTCATTTCAATAAATTTAATTTAAATGGCTACACTTGGTTAGAGGCTCCCATCTTGGACAGAGCAGATTCAGGAGGCCCAGGACAAGGTGGTCAGTAATAGTCCCCTTCACGTCTTCCCCTAGCAGAGGGAATTCAGAACCTGATGCAGCTGCTGTTCTGAATCTGGTTGAGGAGAGAAAGACTCAAAGAAACAAATCACAAGCCTTGGCATGAGAGTAAGCACAGGGACTCTAGAAGCCTAGAGAAGGTGACCTAAGCTGGCTTGTGGGACTGGGAATGGCTGGCCTAGGGGGGCGAGGTGGGGGTGGGGTGGGGCAGGGGAGGTGATCTTGCAGAGGGAACAGCAGGGCAGAGCGGATGGACAGCAGACCATCACACATTAGAATGTGTCAGTGCTACAGGGTATCGAAGCTGGGGCTCTCCAAGGGAGCTGGGCAGAGGCTGGGGCGTGAAGGCGCCCCCCTGCTGATCTACAGGGCCCTGTTATCCTGCAGGACTTGGAAGCCATTCCAGGTTGTGAAGGAAGAACACACAACTTATTTTTATTTGTGACTCTAATAACATAGCTGTGACCTCAGAAGACAGCGCCTGGGGACATCTCGGTGTGCTGTGGGTGCCTTCCCCTCCCTTCCCGCAGCCTTTCACTCAAACTGGCCCCACGGCATGTGCCTGTCAGGGCTGCTGTGGGTGTCGTCCTGCTGCCGTCAGACTGGCATCTGGGAAAGGTCTTCTCACCGGGCAGGGAAGGGTCCGGGGCTCCGTCCACACAGATCTGCTTCTCGTTCACCGACGAAGGCTTGAGGGTGTACACCACAAACAGCCCAATTCTTAAGGCAGAAAGAGAAGGACACATTCAACTGTGGGTTTGGCCCCTGTCTCCTGAGCACCCATGAATGTTTCCTACACAGATCTACCCAAATGCAGCTTCAAGGGAGGGCTTGAGGGGGAATTGCGTTACTCTGATCAGTGTGATCTTTCCAGAGACTTCTCCAATCGGTCAGGATTCATCAGAGAAGCTGACTCTGGCTCTGCCAGGTCAATAGGACAGACATGGCTGAGGACACAACAGCTGAAATGTCCTATCAGCTGGGAAATCTGCAAAAGGCAGGCGCGTTGGGTCACTGGCTGGTGAGGATGGCCGGGCTCATGCAAATCCTGGGTTTCTTGGTAGGTGTGTCTAAGTACCAGGGAGCAGTGAACCCACAGCCCTGTTGAGGAGTCTAGGGGACCCACCCCTTTTTTCAAGCCATGAACAGAGAAAATGTTTCTAGGAAGGTCCAGGGAAATAGAACCTGCTGCTGCATTGAAGGGCGGTGCTGCTGAGCTGAGTGTGGGAAGGAGAGAGCTGGGTCTACGTTCCCTCATGAAGCAGCCCTGATGCTCTCTCTGCCCTCTCTCCCGGGGAGCTGGCACAATACCTGAGCAAGTCCTGGAGGCTGAAGTGGCCCCTCAGCTGACAGCCCAGGATGGCAATGATGGTGGACATCTTGGAGGGGGTGAGGCCTGGCTCGTTGAAGAGGAAGACGAGCTTGGGAATAAGCTGTGCCTGGTGAGCAACTTCAGCATTCCGGGGTCCTTCCCTGGTGAGCCCAGGAGAGAGGCAGTAAAAGCTTTTACTGGAATGAACCAAATTTGCTGTGTTTCTGCTAAAAAAGGTTCCACAGTCTGGGTTTGCCGGCCCGCTGACTCTCATGCTCTCCTGGCAACTCATCAAAATGCTCTCAGACACCCATCGAATATGTGTCTGCCCAGTGCCCCAGTCGCTTGGGGTTGAGCCTCCCACGCCCTCCCATCCCCAACCCCACCCCCACCGGAAACTGCCTTCAAAGACAACCACCAGTTATCGACTTTTAAATTCCGAGCCTCAGGGAAAACTAAAGCTGGTCTCAGAAAACTCAGAACAAAAAGCGCAGACTGGAGCACGGCCACGGAGCACTTCCCAACAGCCGGAACGCCGGCCTTGGCCAGCCCGTCAGCATGTGTGTCTTCCTGCTCGCCCCAAACCACAAAGTGGATGAACACGCCGCTAAGGGTCAAAGGGGAGAGAGATGGGATTCAAGCCTCCGCACCCCCTCCTCAGGATAATCGCAAATACAATTTCCTGTAAATTCTACTCCCCCAAAGAAAACAGCTCCCAGGGTGCGTGTCCATCTCTTAGAAAACAACAGGTACAGAAAGACAGTGGAAAGGGGGAAAGAAAAGAAACTGGAGGAGAATGAATGTGGATGGATTGCTCCTTCTTGAGCCATCTTTCAGTACTGCTGTGTTGAATTCTGCCGAGCCCCATATCCCTGATACACAGAAGAGGTAGAACCAGCCAATTCTGTGTGTGGCTTGCACTCATGGGTTCAATGGGAAGATGTGCATTCATCACCTATAGGTCCCCAATGTCCTTTGTGCTCTCATCACAGCACTGAGCAACCTGCTTTCTGCATTCCTTCTCCACAGGGCTGTGTCTTGTCCTTCCCTGAACCTCCAGCACTAAGAAGTGAAGTGGGTTATAATAGATAGTCAATCATGAGTGAATGAATGAAAGGGTGGCTGCAAACACCCTCAAACACTAAGGTGCTAATGATCACTAGGACAGCCAATCTGTAAGGAGTCAGGTGGAGGTGGATATGAATAGCCCACTGTGTAAGGAAGGAGGTGGGTTGATAGACTGGCTTCCCTGACTCCCTTTTCCCTTATTCTGATCACAATCCCTGGTTTTCTTTGGGACTTACCTCTTTCTAACTCTCCTCCACCCACTCCAGAGGGCAAGAGATGCTCCTGGCCTGGCCACATGACCTAAGATGGCCCGGGAGACTCCCTCCTACTTCTAGGAGTATTGAGTGAAAAAAAAAAAGCCCTGCTGACTGTACAGAGCTGAGGACACTCTATGAAGTTGCCCAGCCAGAATGAAACCAGCATGGAAGAAAGCACAGACAAGACCAGGGATAGATCTCAGATAAAGTAATATAAGCATCATCCAGACAACATGTGAAGATCTGCCTCTGTCAACTGTATAAGCCAATAAATGTCCCCTTTCTCTGCTTTCCTTTTCACCCTCTATTTCTTTCTTCTTTAAGTTGGTTTGAGTTCTGTTTCTGCCATTTGCTATCAAAAGAGCCTTGACTAATTCAAAAAGTAACAATGTGATGGCATTTGGAGAGGGGCCTTTGAGAGATACTTGGGTTATGAGGGTGAAGCCCTCATGAATGGAATTAGTGCCCTTATAAAAGAGACCTCAGAGAGCTCCCTTACCCCTCTGCCACTTGAGGTTGTAGTGAGAAGACAGCAAACTATGAACCAGGAAGCAAGTCCCCACCAGACACTGGATTTGCCAGAGTCTGATCTTAGATTTCCAGCCTCCAAAACTGTAAGAAATAAACTTCTGTGGTTTGTCAGTCCCTTAGTCTATGGCTTCCATTGGAAGAAAAGCTATGACCAAACTAGACGCATATTAAAAAGCAGAGACATTACTTTGCTGACAATGGCATGTTTAGTCAAAGCTATGGTTTTTCCAGTAGACATGTATGGATGTGAGAGCTGGACCATAAAGAAAGCTGAATGCTGAAGAATTGATGCTTTTGAACTGTGATGTTGGAGAAGACTCTGGAGAGTCCCTTGGACTGCAAGGAGATCAAACCAGTCCATCTTAGGACTTCCTTAGGATTTCCTTTAGAGGAAATCAACTCTGAATATTCATTGGTAGGACTGATGCTGAAGCTGAAGTTCTAGCACTTTGGCCAGCTGATGTGAAGAACTGACTCACTGGAGAAGACCCTGATTCTGGGAAAGACTGAAGGCAGAAGGAGAAGGGGAGGACAGAAGATGAGATGGTTGGGTGGCATCACCGATTCGATGGACATGAGTTTGAGTAAGCTCCAGGAGCTGGTGATGGACAGGGAAGTCTGGCATGCTGCAGTCCATGGGATCACAAAGAGTCATACATTACTGAGTAACTGAACTGAACTGAACTAGTCTATGGTATTTTTTGTCTTAGCAGTGGAATAGACTAAGACAGACCTACTGCCCCCTGGGGACCTCATGCTCTGGGAACTGGAGAAGTCCATAGTTACTGAGCAACTGGCTGTCCTGTCCTCCTAGTCCTGTTCTTGGCATGAAACCTTAGCTGCAACCCCCATGCTGCCAAAGCCCAGCCTACCTCGTTGACTGAAGGATTTCCACTAGATGGGAAAAGAGAGAGACCTCCAAATTGTCAGCAGCATTCATCCAGAGCTAGAAGACAGAACACAATGAAGTCAAGTGTGTGAAGGGAATGATTGCCAGGCAGTGTGAGCCAGTGAGGAGCTTGGAGTGGTCTTCTTTGGCTTGGAATCACTAACACAGCTTACCAGCTCCAGAATCATATCAGTTCTCCTGACCGCACGACCCCCAGGAGAAAGTGCAAACACCATTCCTGTCTTCCCCATCTCTGCTGCTGTCTGGAGCTTTGCTGTGGATCTAGATTCAAACCAAGGACACCTACAGTGACCATCTTCTACCTGTGTCCCACCCTGGGCCTCACAGCCTGTGCATCAACACAGCAAATGCATCTCATTCTCATAGGATCCTACTATACAAGGCAAATACCAGTGTTCCCAATTTAGAGATGAGAAAATAGAAGGTAAGATAGACCTTTGAGAAACAGGTCCCTTACCACCAGCAAATCATTGAACTGGAATCAGAAGCTGAGTCTCACCTCTCAGGTTTTATACTGCAGCAACTATGCATTCAGCTTGTGTGTGCAATTTCTTCAGATCCCCTATCTATAGAACCTGTAGCTCCTATGCAACAGAATTGTGAATGACACACCCTTGTGAAATGCACTGAGATTCTAAAAGAAAAGTTTATCACTCAGGTTATTTTCTTTATTGTAAATAAAATGCAGCTGCTCCCCATTCTTCTGGGGCAAAGGTGATAGTGTACCTTCATTCTTATTTCTATTAATACTTCCCTTTAGAGAGCTCTATTATTCTCATCTAAATGATAACATTTCCTAAATCCCAGAATCTAGAAAGTTCAGATGTGGGAGTTTAAAGAGTGTACTCTTACAGCAGCAAAAAGAGCTCACACTTACAAATGGTACCATTTGCTGGAGGCAAGAAGGATCGCACAAAGTCCCAAAACCAAATCATTATCCTCATTTAGTAGATAAGAACGGTGAGTCTCAGAGAGACTGAGTACCTTGTCTGGCGCCCATGGTTTTTAATTGGCAGAGACTGGCTTCAAAGCCTGGTCTGTCTGACCATGGAGCCCACACTCTTTCCTTCTTGCTGTGTTCCCCCACAGGCATCTCCTGCAGACAGTGACTCAGAGAGTCAATAATCAACCTCACTTGAGCCAAGAGTAGTCATGGCTCCATCCATTTACTTATGGGGGAAAGTGGAACAACCTCAGTGGCTTTAAGTTTATTATGAAGGCAGAGACTGTCCCTCTCCAATCCCCAAGGCTCAGCATCATACATGCCACGTAGTGCCCTCTTAATAAGGATCCACTCCCGTTTTTAAAAGAGTGAATACAAAGTAAACCAAAATAAGACAAGTGTAATACTCTTAAGCCAAAAACAGCCTGACATATTTCCAGCCCCTGAAAGCACCATCACTGCCAGGTACACACAGAGGTAGGGCAGCTGTCATTTGAGAGAGCTGGTGTTGAAAAATGTGGCTCCCGGGAAGGTAGAGGTAACCAGACACGGCACCCCAACATACTCAAGAGGATGCCAAGAGCTTTGCATACTTAAATTCATGCATTCATTCATGAAGGCAGTCACTGAATAAATGATACATCAGGCTCTGTGTTGGGAACTGAGAAAGTAAGACAGACACCCTGAAGCATACGCCTCCTCTGCCCTCTACTCCAGAACTTTAGAAAAATAAGTTGCCCCAGCACACTTGAGGCTACCCAGCTCTTTTAGAAATTACCTTACATAATGCCAACTGTCTGAATTTTGGAAAACATGCATAACTGAATCTTTTGCTTGTTATTCTGTGTCACATAACCCCTGTACTAAAGACTGTATTAAGATGTCTGTATTAAGTTAGTTTGAATATCAAATGAATAATGTGTCAAATTCTGTTCTCTCCCCACCCCTAGGACGACCTCAGTCTCAGAAAGGGGTGGCCTTTTCTGAAGCCACAGGCCTAAGGCATGCAGGACTTCAACTTCCTGTCCCTTTCAGCTTCTCAATGTCCTGCTCCCCACTGCTGCAAACCAGTCATCAAGGGTCTGCCCCTTCTGTTGTAACCTACTCTCTGCTCCCCAAACCTTCCCTCTCCTTGAAGGACTTGTCCCATCAATAGTTGATTCTTACACTGGTATTTTAGATGCCCCCTTTTCACTGCTCAAGTCTCCTAAGTTCTGAAACACTTCTTTAATTTTCTTCTCTCCTTGTCTCTTCTTCAAAAGCCCACCAACTCTCTCCTTCCAGCTTCCTCCCTGCTCTTCACCTGATGTCCAATTCCACCATTTACTCTTCCCTGGGCCTGTCAGTGACCTCCAAACACAACAGACACATCCCTGCCCAGACTTCACTTGATGTAGCCAGCACTGGGGAAATCCTTCTTCTTTTTAAAATTCTCTCCTCTCAATCTTTTAAAAATGTTATGTCACTTCATTGGTTTATTGTGGATTTTTTAAAGCATCTTTTCTGCTTGTTTTTTATTAGTTCCCTATTTTCTTAACCCAAGTGTGAAAAGCACCAGCTCAGCTGAGGGGCTAGTTCATTCAGGAAGGGGATGGGTGGTGCCCATGGTGGTTCCAGGAGCAGGCAGTGGACGGCTGGTGGGTTCCTGTGTGGGTAATTCCTGGGCTGGGCTGGTGGCAATGATATAGAGGAGCCAAGATGCCTGAGCATAGCCATGGCATTTTAGAAGGGGCAGCAGTGTGGTCAAGGCATGCTGACTTGTTTACCAGGGTGGTAAGGCTATTTTGCATATTTGCTTCCTGCTGTGCACTGGGAGCCCATATCCCAGGTCTGGTTGACTTCCCCGACAATCCTTGCCTCAATCTCCAGATCTAGGAGGAGAAGGGGACGACAGAGGACGAGATGTTCGGATGGCATCACTGACTCCATGGATGTGAGTTTGAACAAGCTCTAGGAGATGGTGAAGGACAGGGAAGCCTGGAGTGCTGCAGTCCATGGGTTGCAAAGAGTCACCTCTATCTGCAATAACATCGCTGCAGGTGCCCCAAGCCACATGCTCTCAAATGCCTGTGGTTGTTCTCATCCCTACATGTGAGTCAATAGCATCCACTCCACCTGGAACATTCCCCCACTGAATATGTTCTGCCAGACTCAGCCCCAGAGCCCTGATTAACGAGTTGAGCTGACTGTCCCCTCTTCAGACTCCCCAGAGGCCCTGTCCCCCCCTCACTGGCACCCAGCACATAGTAGCATCAGCTATGTCCTGTCCTGGGCCCAGATGGCTGTGTGTGGGAGCTGTGTCTTGGTTATCACCATGCCTCCAGAACACACCAGCATGTGACCAGCATTCAATAAATGATGCTTTGTGAAGGGATCTACCCAAAGGTCTGCCCAATACTCCTCACTCAGCCTCCTATGTGCCCTCAGGATGTCTCACTCATTCCTTTACAGGAGCATTTCTAAACAGCAAAGCATCATCCAAAGGAACTGGGATGCTTTAATGTCCTCTTATGTATGGAAGCCTACAGTTTTAAAATCTTTTCCCAGGTAGTAGCGGATTTGACTCCCACACCAGCCTATGAGGGAGAGATGATGGCCTCCCTTTCACACAGGAGAAGACTCAAACTCAGAGAAGTCAAGAGACTTGCCCGAGGCCATACAGCCTAATGGTGGTAGGAGTTAATTATAAAGCAGGGGCTCTGAGCTCCAAAGCCTTTGTGGTTTTCTCTCTCACTACCACCTTGACCATGGAGGAAGCTGATTCGCTGGGTTTAGAGGAGGCTCCAAGCTTTCTGTATCATCACATACCTGCTTCTTTAGGGCTAGTGACCAACCTCCAGTTTACCTCGAAATTGCAGAGGATGTGTTGAAAGACACCAACGTTGGTGATTACAGAGGACCCAAAGCCCAGTTCTGCAGTGCCAGTGATAGACAGGATCAGCTGAAAAATGCGATGGTTTAGGAAAGAGGTCTTTTTCCTCAGGAGAAAAGCCATTATCTGCAAAGGTTAAAACACAAAGCAGTTTCCTAGTGAATGCATCATCAGGACTCTCTCCCTCATCCACCTGTTCCTGCCAGCACCTTTTGTCCGGCCAGTATGAAAAAACTCTGCTCTCTGGGACTACCTCATCCATTGCCTTTTTCTCAGAAGGAAAACAGACACAAGCTTTTGCGGCTGCTTCCCCACCAGTGTCCACTTTTCTGTATGTGGCTTCACCTCTCACTGTGGGCCCCGGCTCCTTCCTGAATTTTCCACATTTCCAGAATGCCACGGTCTCCTGGTTTCCTTCCACATTTCTGTGCTTTTCTCATTTTCCTTTACGGGGTCCTACATTCATACCCATCACACAGATGATGCTGTATCATTAGGCAGCCACCATCTGCCCACAAACCCAGTTACATCAGCTTCACTTCAGGCTGCTGCCACCAGATGTACCATTCTGCCATTCTGCTGTGCCAGGCCCTGGGAAACTGGCAGGACACAGGCATCCATACCAGGGTCCAGGCACTGGAACCCCAGTGGCCCACACTCATCTCAGAGACTGATTAGGTGGATCTAACCTAGCCTTCTGTCTCTGCTGACCTCAGTAGCACAAAAGTCAGGCTGACCTACCATCCACGTGTATCTGGGTTCTCATCCACTTCATTGAGAGTCTCAGCTCAGCTCATTCACAGCTCAGTTCCCCACTCCTGGATCTAACAAAGTCCACCCCCCGTCCTCTTAGACATACTCTTCCACTGTGTCATCAGGAAGTCTCACTTGTCATGGGCTGAATGTTTGTTTTTTCCGAACTCCATATGATGAAACCCTAGTCCCCAGGGTGATGGTATTTGAAGGTAGGTCTTTTGGGAAATAATTAGCATCAGATGAAGGCATGAGGGTGGAGCCCTCATAGATGGAATTAGTGCTCTCAAAAGAGTCACAGTAGAGCATTCTTCCTCTCTCTACTCTGCCATGTGAGGATACAATGAAAAGTTGGCCATCTGCAATCCAGGAGGGTCCTCACTCAACCTGACCATGCTGGCATCCTGATTGTGGACTAACCAGCATCCAGAACTATGAGAAAATTAATTTCTGTTGCTAATAAACCACCCAGTCTATGGTATTCTGTTATAGCAGCCCAAACTGAGACAATTTAAATCAGCAAATAATTTCTTTTCAGACTATTCCAGTCACTTCTTTGGCATATCTACCATTCCTCACTCCGCTACCAGGACATAATTAGAATGGCTGAAAGTTGCATAAGAAAAATCACTCAAGTTGACTGATTTCACTTTACATTAATAGTGTCAAATGTCAAATTGGTATCCAATTTGGCCTGGCAGTCCAATTCTGTTTTTTTGTAAGCTGGCTTTCCTCATCCGACAGATGATGACCTCAACTCTTCTCCTCTCTCCACAACTTCCCACCACCATCACCCAACCCAGTACACAGCTGAGAGTTTAGAACCCAGACACGAACACCCTCATCTCCTCACCACCAGATCCACAAATGCCTGCACTGCGTTCCTTCCTGTCATGAGCCGGGTTTCCATTCACCTGCCCTCTGGAACCCACCCCTCGCCTGCTCCTTAGTATAACTCTTCTGTCCTAGCTCCACCCATATTTCTCTTTCTTGTCACTTTGTTCCTGATAAACACGGCAACAAGTACATATGTGTGTTTGTGTTCAGTTGTTCAGTCAAGTCGGACTCTGCGATCCCACAGAGTGCAGCCCACCAGGCTCTTCTGTTCATGGGATTTTTCAGACAAGAATAATGGAGCAGGTTGCCATTTCCTCCTCCAGGGGACCTTCCTGATCCAGGGATAGAACCTGAGTTTCCAGCATCTTCTGCATTGCTGGTGGATTCTCTACTGCTGAGCCACCAGGAACAAGTACATGTACATCATCCCAAATGAGCATGCATATTAGGAAAAAGCAAGAAAAGGTGCAAGAAATGGATGAGTTAGAGTGAGGGAGAGGCAGGAGACATAGACTGTGGTCCAGCTGTGGCCACAGTCCAGGTGAGAGGGGGTTGCTTGACGTGACACCGGACAGCTTTCTTCTAAGACTCTGACTTGGGTGCCAAAGAGAGAAGGAGGCTCTTTCCTGCCCACGCTGGGCCCAGAAGGAACCTGCAGCTGTTGTGCCTCAGTGACTTTGTCTAGACTTAGACCCTAGTCTCTGCCCTCCATGCTTCCTTTCTTGGATGCCTCTCAGCCAGGCAGGGCACTCCTGGAGGACAGTGTCCATGTCTCATCTGACATTATGAACAGTAAGTAGCAATATAATCATCGTGCACACACACACAGCAGTTACTCTGAGCAGCCATGCTTCTAAGCACTCAGCATATATTAATTCTGTGATCACGATCCTACACAATAGGGGCTGTTATTATTCTTATCTTACACAGAAGAGAACTGAGGCACAAAAGTTAAGAACTAAAGTTGGCCAACATTTCTAGGGCATTTCGTCTGGACCAGACATAATTCTAAGCCCTTCACCTGTATTAAATCATCGAGTCCTCACTGCAACCTCATGATACAGGAGATACAATAGATCGTATTGTACAGATGTGGAAACCAAGACAGAGAGGGGTAAGTAACTCAGGAAAACTTAAATAGAAAGCTAGGAAGAGGCTCAATTCCAACCTAGCACTCTGGTTCCAAGGTCTGGGTTCTTAGCTGTCATGCTAGATGCAAAGTAGGGGGATCACAAATGATTCTTGAACTCATCAGTGAAAGATGCTGGCAGCCACAGACAGGTGAGCATCCCCGTCCTGCTCAGAGCCCCTCTCTGGCTGGTGGTCACCTGGCCCTCTGCTCTGGTGATGCTGAGGGACCAAGGAACTTTCAGTTTCCTTTCTCCAAAGTCATACTGATAGGAATGTCTACTTGGGCCAGCAGGCTCCTCCCCGTTCCTCGGGGATGACAGCTTCTTTCTGGGTGGTGGGGGGCATTTGCAGACTCAGGTGGGAGGGTGGACTTACCTGGTACCCACAGATGTGCTGCATCAGGCGGTCACACATGACATTGCTGGTCAGAACCAAGTGCAGGACTTTCACAGCCGCGTACATGCTGTGGTCATCTGTTGCTAAGGAAATGAGGCCCAGGAGGATGGCAGGCCCGCCAATGAAGTCCAGGCTGCTGGCAGCAGGGCTGGAGTGGAACACCCTTACCCCTGTGTGGGACAAAGACTTTCCTGAGTATACCACAGCTTCATTGCAGTGGAAATTCCTCTGGCAGCATGCAAGAGCTGTCAGAGACATCATCCACTTACAGCTGTGGAGCCTGTGCACAGGACAAGCTGGGAGGAAGAGTAGGGGCTTTAAAAGTTTTAGGTCACTGAGAGATCCTGTGCTGAGTCCTTTCTGGGTCATAGAAGGCTGAAACAGCCCAGGGGATTTCAGACCTCCACCCTCTGTCTTAGTCCAGAGTGCCAGATGAGCCAGCCATCCTCTGAGCTGGCTGCTCTGACAACCTCTGGCTCTTGTCTGGGCTCTAGATCCTGCAGCATTGGCCCCTGGCACCAGCTCTCTGGTTTGCTCTTGCCTGATTGCAAGGCACAGTCACCAGTTGTTTTTTTCACCCAAACTACCACCACAATTACCTCTGCTCAGAGGCCCCACTATACTCACTAGAAAGGCTCCGTTGTGCATAGATGCCAGCTTGGTTAGTAGCAAGCTCACTACCAGTTGTCAGATACAGCAAAGTGATTTGATCTCTGCAGGGAAGCTGACTCTCTGGTGGGGCTCTCTCAACTCTTACTCTCACCATCTGAGCTTCTCAGCCCACTCAGTCTTGCCTACCACCCCAGAATTCCAGGCTGCACAAGTGATGCCAGCCACATGCTCTTCTTCCCAAATAGCAGTAAAAGTTCATACCTAATTGGCCCACAGCAACAGCTCCAATGGTTCGAAGAGAACCTGAGAGGTGACCAGCACAATTTCTTAGCAAGAAGACAGGCACAGCACTGTCACGGGATGAAATGTTCATCTGGAGAAATTGGCAACAGTTAGTCCTAAGCAACTTTCCTGGAGAGGAGGAGGTCTTGTTCAGGAGCTCCTGGAGGGCAGGCATCCTGAGTCCTGGCACTCCGTTAGTGTAAGCCATTGGATAAATAATAACTGAACCAACATCAGAGGGACTGAAGCCAAAATTCAGGTTCTGTCCTGCCTCCCAGTCTTTGGCTTAATCAGAAGGGAGAACCTTTCATTATACAATTGTGCCACCAATGTCCCACATGGTTACTAATTAAACAAATGCTCACAGTGAGGAGCTGATGAGAGTAGGAAGGCCCTGAGGACACTTAGAGGTATAACAGTGTTGAGGAGGCCAGGCCTGCCTTCTTTCCTGTCTAGGGTCATCCAGCTCTTCAAGTCCTGGCATCACTGGTCTCCAAGGGCCAGAAGACGGGACCCTGGCCTCTTCTAGCAGAAAACTCTGCTGGTAAGGCGTAGCTTTAGTGCTCAACAGGACTTAACTCATGATCCTGCCTCCTCAGGAAAGGGAGGGACCCTCTGTCTGTGAGGGTAGCGAGAATATAAACAAATGAGCCCAAATTCATCAACAGTAAAAGAGCTCTTTATGCAGGGGATTAGGAAATAGGAAATCTAGTGGCCTCTTTACCTAACTAACTTGTCTGCTTGTTGCTTTGCAAATTTTTGCTTAAACACAATGACTCAAAGACAACCTTAGGGGTTAGTAGCACCCAGGAAAAAGAAGTTTAATAGTGTTCCCAGTGTCACAAGTGTTGTTTAAATATCCCATTTGTTCTTGCTCTACTGAAGAGAATGAAGAGTACCTACTTTCTTCTCTGAAAGAAGAGATTTGGTCTTGAGGAGTGTGAATGGGCAGGAGTCATAGAATATTTTCACAAATGAAGTGTGTCTATCAACACACACACCCAAATGTGAATTAGTGTTCATTTAATCCCTGAAAGCTGCAGCAAGCCATGAGATCTTTATTCCGAAAAGGAGCAGCAAGTAACGTTAGAAGGTGTACCTCTTTGGCAATCAGACGGCTGTCCACCTCGTTGTATGTGCTTCTGATGTCTGCGACACTGGTGACGGAGGAGCTGGCTATGTGAAGGCCAAAGGAAAGCTTTTCCTCTGCAACCAGGGGTGTCACTTCCACACCAGGATCCTCTCCTACAACAGCACATCTTCAGTTATTCCTACTCTCACTTTACTGAGTAGGAAATTAACCCTCAGAAGACTGAACATCTACTGCTACATGGCAAAGTCATCACTGAGCAATGTTCCTAGCTATTATATGTTATTACATTGTATGTCATGTATCATATGTGTCATTTCTGACACATAGAAAACTGTAGAGAAATCTCACAATATTAACCCTACTACAAAATAGAAGCACTCCAGGTAGGAAATTACTAATACTAAGTCCTGAGACATCTATTGGGAATGTAACCTCACCCCCAAAACCAAAGTGCTGGGCTGAAAGTCCTGTGGTTTTCAGTGAGCTGCAAGTCCATGGTAAACACCTCCCTTGGTTTTAGCATACAGGTGCTCACACAAGGAGAGTGAGCTCACTCAAGGAGAGCTAGATATGCTACTTCAGAAGCATGGTGTAAACAAAGAGTTGATGACACTTTGGCTCTAGACCTGGCCTCCTCACATTGTCCTTACCAGTGATCGTTGCTAGAGGAAATGAAGTTCAAAGAACACACGAATCCTAAAGACAAAAATGCTCCACAGTGCTCAGTCACCCTTCACCATGCAGGAAAGCATCAGTACATAGATTCATTTATCATTCTTTCCAGATGAGAGTTGACCCCCTCGACTTGGCAGAGCACAGAGAGCAATATTCCCTGCTTGAACAGCCAACAATCAATAATGAAAATGTGGATGTTTTGTCTGCCTGTTTAATAATTGAAGACAACAGTATACTTTAGTTAAAAAGCTTCTTCATTAAAAGGAATGTAACTTATTTATCTCATTCTCTTCCCTCTTTCTTTGCTGATGCTATTACCTACCCACTTTTCTCTATTACATACTCTGGAATTGAAACCTATAGGAGATTGTCATTTCCTTTTCTGTGACATTTTCTATTGGCTTGTAAATATATAATAATCCAGCTACAGAGGACTTCCCTAATGACTGGCCTGTGATGAGTTTTTTCCTTATAAATAAGCTATAAATAACTGGATGTCTTTTTAAAAATTACAATCAGCAAGGTCATTATAAATCAAAACACCCCATACCTTGGACATGCACAGCCTGGAAGTTACCACAGTATCTTGGGCCAAGTTTGTTAATAACTTCCAGGGTTTCCATTGAGATGGCTTCTTCAAAGAAGTAGGTGGGGCCCAGACGCCATATTAGTAACGACTTTTGTTTCCAAACTCGAGGGGTAGCAATATATCCATAAACATCCACAAATGAGGATGGATCCATTGAAAGGAATGGTCCTGGTAAGGCCTGAATGTACAACATCTGTTAAAACAAAAAGGTGGGGGAAAGGGGTAGATGGGACGTATTTAATCTCAGAATTAATCAAATAAATACATAAAACAAAAAAAGATGTACCTTATTCATCTCTCAAAGTAAAAATTTTATTCAGAAACATTACAAAGATAACTCTCAAAGGTGAGAAACACTGTATAAAACAGTTTATAAAAAAAATTCTGTGTGTATGAGCTCTCAGTTGTGTCCAACTCTTTTATGACCCCAAGGACTGTAGCCTGCCAAGCTCCTCTGTCCATAGGATTTCCCAGGCAAGAATAGTGGAGTGGGTTGCTATTTCCTCCTCCAGGATATCTTCCCAACCCAAGGATTGAACCTGAGTCTCTTGAGTCTCCTGCAATAGCAGACAGATTCTTTACCACCAGCACCACCTGGGAAGCCACGTGGGAGTAAAAGACTGACATTGTGCCTTTGGAAATCAATGTGATAAAAAAATATAAAGTGTCACTAAAAGGTTCATCTTTTTCTCCAGTCATTTCACAAAGAACTTTAAAGTCCAATGTTGGCACATTAATTAAGCTTTACATACTAAATATAGCTACAGACTAGAAAGGAAGAAATAAAACTGTCTCTATTTGCAAATGTCACATCCATGTAGAAATTTCTAAGGAATCCACACAAAAAAAACTAATAAATGAATTCATCAAAGTCACAGGATATATGATCAACACATAAAAATAAATTGCATTCTATAGACTAACAAAGAACATGCAGAAACTACAATTGCTCACAAGAAAAATAAATACTTTTTTGTTCTGCAAAATCCCATGTGAAAGAGGATGAAAGAAAGCTATAGATTAGGAGAAATTATTTACAAAATTACATATCCAACAAAGGACCATTATCTAAAATATTTAGATAAAACTCTTAAAATTCAATAGCAAAACAGTAAACAATCCAATTAGAAATGAGTGAAACATATACACAGACATCACTAAAGAGGATATACAAGTTGCAAATAAGGTTCTAACATTTGAGAACAGCTGTTTCATCTCCAACCTAAGTCCATATTTTTTCTTGCTCAACAGACACCTGCATCTAAACACAGACCTTACGTTTATCCATTTAAATTTCACTTGCTGATCCTGACCCAACTTGTTGAAATCATCTTGGAAAGTCATCTCTGTCAGTCTTGGCCCTTGGCCATTCTCCATGCCATATTTTGCATATTTTGACATATTCCCATGGCATCTCATCCCTTTTAACCTCCATGCTGACTCACTCTGGTTTAGCAGGCCCCTGAGGTTGGATGTTCATCTATGTGCCAATTCACTAAACAACATATCAGCCTTGTAACTATAAATTCAATACAATTCATCAAGTGTATATTGCATGCTTTCAGTATGCCAGTCCCTGTGCTAGGTGAAAGCAAGTTCCAGATATCAATAGGACAAGGCTCTTAACCTCACAATACATGTTCTACTTCAGAGAATATAATCTATTCTATGAAACAAGACTGGATACCAATATACTCTGTGAAAGAGGACCAAAACTAGCCCACTCTGTAATTATGCCTAAAGAGATTTAAAAAAAAAAAAGAAAAAGACTTTGGGTGACCACAAATGTAACCACACTTTTCATCCTGGCTAACGTGAGTGACCACTGCTCTTTCTCCAGTGACAGTTTAAGCCCTTTCCCTTTCTTTCTGCTTCCTGATTAAAAGTTCTGAACATACATAGACACCAAATTGTCTCTCTGACAGCACCCCATTCAGAACTGACTGACCTCCACTTTTTTGAACCCTCCCCAAAATCACCTAAAGTGAGCCCAAATCCTGTTAGTTCCTCCTAACACCTTATTACTCCATGCTAAGGAGGGTAAGAAGGCTCTTGCTACAGCAAGCTTCATAAACGTACCTCTTGTTCTGTACTATATGCATGCTCCTAGAGGTATTTGACTGGTGGGCATGGGCAGTTCCTAATATCTAAAACAATACCTAACATATATATTAGGTGTTCAATAAATATTTAATGCGGGAAGGAGCGAAGGAAGAAAGGAAGTTGTGAGGTAAGAAGAATTGTTAACAATTGAAGTCAAAAGTTAACTTTACATTTTGAAGGACTTTTCTTTTAATACTCTTGATGAATCCTTCTGGTTACCTCTGTGACTAGGAGGCATGGCCATGGGGCAAGCACAGCTTGGGGGAAACATCTCACCTTAGCCGAGCCGATGACCTGTCCATCCAGATAGGTGAAAACTGTACAATTCCTTTTCATTTCCTTGGTGACAACCACAGCCAGGTGATGCCACTGACCACAAGCCAGCAGCTGGCCACACCTGACCCGAAGCTGGCGTCCCGCAGAGGGCTCAGGGTCATCCTCTGGTTCCATGACATCTGGAAGAGAACATAAGCACAGACCTCACCTGCAGTGTCAGGGGCCAGCACCAGGGGCCCTAGAGCCAGTGGAGCCAGCGCTGAGCCTCCCATAGAAAACTAACAGCAGCAGGAGGTTTCATTGCTTTGTGCCAGACACTGAGGTAGGTGCTATCATGATTCCCATATTACCATCCTGAGGCACAGAGAGGTTGGGTAACTTGCCTAAGGTTGCATAGTTGGAGTTCAAACCCAGGAGTCAGGCTGCAGGGTCTACCCATCACTAGACTGCCTCTATAGGGACACACAGGGGCTGGCAAAGTCCCAGAAGGGAAGGAGCTTAGGTGGCTGGGCTGTGTGTGAAGGGCACCAAGCCAAATCCTGGGCCTTCCAAAGTCGATGTCTCACTATGAAACAGGGCACAAAAAACAGGCATGGCCATAACACCCTGGGCTTGGCCATCACAGTCCACTTTGGGCCACTGCAGGCAGGTAAGCTTGGAGATCCAGGCTGAGCTCTAGGCAGCAGAATCAGAATCAGCCACCTACCTATACAGCTGAAGGCAGGCAGGCACCCCAGGCTCTTGGGCCAAGAGCTGCTGACTCAGTCCCACATCCCCCAAGTGTGGGTGAAATCTTACCCAGGGGCTGAAACTCTTTCTCTTCTGTAGACACAACCAAGGAGAGGTCTTCCGGGCAGAGGCTGACAGAGAAGCAGATGAAGGGCTGCTCGGTCCTGGCCAGGTGGCGCACCAGGGTCAGGAAGCGCAGTGGATGGCCCTCCGTGGCTGCGCTGTGCCTGGCGATCAGGAACCAGCAGGAGAAGGTCAGGCCCCCAGGCGGAGGGAAGGACCTGGCAGCACCTGGGGTCAGAACACAAGCACGCCCTGAGGCTTCGTCCTGCTGTGCAAGCCTGTCTAGACTCACGGTGGCTCTGATTCGGCCCAGGGGTGGCCCTGCTGTGTGCCAGGGTCCTGCCTGACCCACACCCACTTCACAGTGACCCATGCGGCATGACGCTCTTGTCTCCTTCCTTAATCATACTCACAAGAATAAGTCATATTCCCTCCAGGACTTGAGCCTAGATCTTCAGAGCCTCTCTCCAATTCTGACCCACCTATTATGCTGCGTTGCTAATGAAGTGGAGAGGGAGCATACCCCTGAGATCCATCACCACGTGGCCCACAGGTCAGCTGGTCTAAAGCTGGCCTGTGTGCTATGTGGGGCAGAGAAAGCCAGACTAGCTAAGCTAAACCTTGCCTGGGGAGCGCTCACTCTAGGGATACCCAGGCTGGCAATACAGGTGGGGTCTACTGTCCTCACTGAATGGGCAGAATCAGGCTTGGAACTCTGCACTGATGAGCTGTAAATTCCACAGCTCCTCAGCACCCACCCTCCCACGGAAACCCAGACCCTGGCTCTCCTAACAGGGGGTGCCTGGTCTTCAGCTGAGGGCAGCACTGTACAAAGCATGCCAAGGCCCAGCTGATCCCCACAGGAGTCAAAGACAGGCTTGTTGCTCAGTGGCCATCGGCACAGAGCTCACATTCCTCTCTAGAGTCATCAGGTGGGGTGAGGTGTTCATGTTGGCCTCTGTCAGTCATTGACAAAGGGCATCAAAACCAAGGCTCAGCTTCCAAGTCAGCCGTCTGAGCCCATCAGTGCTCACTGAGCCCAATACCCGTAACCTTCCACGGACATGTCGAATTCCACGAAGGATGGAGCCAGGGCCGCCCTCTGAGGCTGCAGGTTGCGGGGGGAGGTCATGGAGATGAGGCTCAGTGCCGTCTGAAGGGTGATGGTCGAGCTCTGGGATGGCCCCATGGGCCTGAGGGCCTGTGTGCTTGCTGAGTGAGGGCTGGCATCCCTGGGGGCCACTGCAGAACCCTCAGCAGGCACTGGCATCGCTGCCTGTGACCCTAGGGTTGCAACCAAGAGAAGAGCTGAGTCTTTGCTCAAAGCATTTCCACTTCTCTTCTGTCAACAGCCCCCACCCTTCTGCCACAGCCCCCAAGGAGGGCTCCGCAGAGCACCATGTATTCCCAAACCCCCAGGGTGGCCTCCTGGGCCCTCCCACTCACCCTGTTGCCTGGGACCTCTGCTGATGCTGATAACACTGAATCAATGGTGACAACCTGCTCCTCCTGGAAACTTCTTCTCCCTTTAATTCTATCATTGCCACCACTCCTTTCTACTACACATTTTCTGTGGCTGTCATTGGCTTGCCCCATTAGCTGTCCTTCACTGGGGTTTTGCCCTGGCTCTCTGACCTCCAACTCTTTTTCACAACAGCCTGTCTCCTCAAAGGCTCTGTTTCCCACCTCCAGTGGCTGGCCCACTCCTGACTCTCCATCCTTGCTTTCCAACTGGGCCTCCTAGCCTTAACATCCTGTGTGATCTTATATTCAGCATGTCCATGGCTTTCTTTTCTCCAAGCCGGTTCCCTGGACCAGCAGCTTGCCAGGTACCAGGCCAATGCTTTGTCCTCCAGACCCCCTAACTCCTTGCTGAACTGTGAGCTGGGTGAAGCTGACCCTGTTCTTCTGTCCAGGGGCAGTGCTGAGTACCCCTGCATATGCTGTGACATGAAGGTTGCTATGCTCCAGGCATAGAAAGGGGCCAAGTCCATGCTCACCATCACCATCTTATATGGGGCTAAGAGTCTTCTTCCTTCCAGATCTGGTCTTTATCTGGGGACCATGGATCTAGTCTTTCTGCTCGTCCTCATTTGCTTCATCGAGCAGCAGGCAAAACCATTTTTAAATCTCTCTGCTTCCCATATTCCATAAAGGATTCCTTACAGGAAATGCATGTTCTCTTTTAAATCCCATTATCCTGCCCCTAGTCTCTCCTCTGTCCTCACCTGGGCATCCAGAGTCCCCTCCATGCACATGAGATGAACTGAGCTTTTTCATTGCAGCCAATGGAGGTGAAGCAATTCCAAGGCCTAGAAACTGTCTGCATATCATGACAAACAAGAGAACCAAATGATGACATTTTCAATCAAAAGTTTCCTCCAGTTCCATCTGAACACTTGTCCTAGATCCTAGATCCCACTGGTTCCCCCACCATGCCTTCCCCTCTCGGCCTGGAATCCTTTTCCTCAGGCCATACAGAACCAGGGTGTCCCTGACTGGGCATTCAGACCAGAGAGCTGGTGAATTTAGATGCTTTTGACTTAATTAGTGACTAGCTAGAAGCCCCAAACTGGACCTGGAGAGGAAAAGGATTTTGTTGGGAAGAGGCTGGCCTGGCCCCTGGGTCCCATACCTGCTGGCTGGAGGGGCTGCCTTTGATCCCCCTGCACTTGGTCCTATATGCCTCCAGGGGTCCAGCAGCCTGTGGCCCTGAGCACCACCCTTCCTACATCAACACCCTCTAGGGCCACAGGTACTTAAGAGACCCTTGACCTCCCTCCTGCAGCCTTTCTTTCCTCTGCTTTTTTGTCTTCTGTGTCTGCCCCTCCTTGTGCATCTTCCCTCGCTACTGGGACTCTCCAGGAAACATGTGGCCTCGTGGAGGGTCTACCAGTAAGAAGGCCCCACAGGATACAGTGGTGCTGCCTCTGGCCCCTCCATGTCACGTGTCCCGTCACTGCCCCTTATGCCAGTCAAGCTCCCTGTGGTCTAGTCTTTCTCTTGGCAGTCAAGCCCTCATAACTACCCCCCTGCCAGCCCCCACTACCCTTTTCAGCAGGGTGTCTTCACATGCCTGGTTCCCTCCTCTCCTGGACTGGTGACCATCTGCACAGGCCATAGACCTCAGCTACCACTGATCCCTTGAAGCCCCCTCTTTACACCCAATCTCCCAGCTGTGGTCCTCACAGCTCCACAGAGCTCTCACACTGCACTAGCATCCCCTCTAACACTTTCTGAATTCTCCGCAGGACCCCTGGCTTATTGCTTCACCCCCTAGACCATCAGCTCCTACGTCCACTCTGTGGGCTGCACATTGCCCAAGGACCCAAGACTCCAACCTGGGCTTGCAGTGACCAATGCTGGGAAGGCAGAAGGGGCACGGGGATACTCTTACTGTCCACTGTGCACAAGCTCGGCTACCACGGGCCAGCAAGATTTAACGTGCAACACACAGTACCTTAACACGTCTGGTTCGATGGCTTGGGAGGCAAGCTTTTCAAAAATCCTGATGAGGCCTGAGTGCAAGGGGCTGCTGCTGGTGGTCAGGGCCTTGTGGCAAGAAGTCATGAGGGTCCTGAGCATCCCCGCCTCACACATGACCTGACGGTTCTTCTCCGACTTCACCAGGGACTGGATGTGACTGGCCATGGAGCACTGGATCTCCCTGGAAAGCTTAGAGTAACCAAAGCAAGCAAGTGGTGAACCCTGCAGGTCAGTACGTTTTGGGAGCCACTTTCGTCACCTCCCAGCTAGAGCTTGAGTTGGTGGTAAGGTGAAGATACTGAGTCCCCCAGAGCCTATTCTCACTGTCCCCAGTCTGTCTTGGGCACTCTCAGAGGTACCCTCTTCACACGAGCTGCCAGATAGGTAGATAGCTTAAAACAGACTGCAATCCAGCAGGCGAGAGCCTGCTTCAGTCTGAGATATGTGGTGGTTGAGCCATACGACATTTCTGAATTGCTAACATTTAAAATACTGATGATTCCACACAGAAGTCCAGATATGTGGCCTCTCTTAAAAAGTGAAAAGACCTGGTCAGGCCATTTGCCATTGTGAGTCTGTTGAGAAGTAGTTGGAGCCAGGCAGCAGCTGTGCCCTCTAGGGGGTCCCACACCTTACCCCCCAACCACTGGCATCTCTCACTGGACAGTCCCATTTCAGTTTGCACCCCTGGCCCAGAAGGTGGAATCCTGTGGCAGCTGCAGCCTGCTCCATATTCTCAGGTCAAACCACACCAGCCTACACAAGCTCCTGAAGTCACAGCTTCTGTGAAGAAGCCTCCCCTCCAACCTACTTCCTTTGTCTGTCTTTCTGGGCTAAGTGCATTCAGACACACATACAGCTGCCCTCTTATCTTCCCCCTGCCAGATTTCAACTCACTTTACCATCTTTATGCCCTTGAAGCCCACAGGATAGAGGCATAGAGTCAGCCTCATCAGCATTTCATCCAAATACATTACATTATTTTCATAATCTTCCTTTCTTCATAAAAAGATAACCCCTTGGCATTCCCAGCCTCCACTGAAAGGGAATTTCCTTCACAAAATCTTTACAGATTGTCCTCCTTTTCTTTTATTTTGTATGAGATTGTCTGAAATCACCAGGATGCCAGTTTGATCTTAAAGGAGGTATCCTGCAGTGGAGGCTATGGGGGCTTCTTTCTGCAGGTGGGGATACCCGTCATAGCTGCCCCTCCTGTGGGCGTCAGCTCCCCTAAGTGGTAGCTGCCCTGCTATGTAGCCCCATATGTATCTTCACGTGTGCATACAAGTGTATACATGTACATACACATGCACACATACATAGAAGTGGGCACACACACACACACACACACACATATATACACCACCCCTGGACGATAGCCAATGGGGCCATGCCCTTCAGCCTCCGTGGCTGAGACCCCTCACACTTGAGACCCCTGGCCTGTGGACTCATCCTCACTCAGTTGCTTCTCCTGCATCACCCTGCTTCCCTCACCTCCCTTCTCCTGAGCCTCCCTCCACAAACCTCACACACCGGTACCCTGTCTTGGACTCTACTTTGAGGAACACAACTAAAGGCTGTAGCTTGCTTTGCATACTGCACGCCTTTGCCCTAGTCTCTAGTTTCAAGAAAAGGGATCTATGATGAAGTAGGTTATGTCTAGGTTAGTCCACCAATGTAAAGCCAGCAGTCACCATGAGGCACTTACTTTAGGACTCTGAACCCAACAATCAAAATTACCTTACTCTATCATCACCTCCCTGTGCGTGTAGTCATTCAAGGCCACCCTGCCCAGAGATGGTTCAGAGTATGTCTGTATCACCAAGGGACAGAATTCAGTAAGATGGCATTCTTCCTTAGACTGTGAACACAGTTTTGTAGTATATATGTTTCAAGGATTACAATGTATGGTGAAACATATACACACAGTTAATCACCAGTTTCTAGATTTTTTTAAAATGAAGGCGTTGCACAGCTCACCCTCCCACCCTTCCACGCCTTTCAGAAGCATGACACCTACAGCTTTTTCCTCAAACTGATGGCATCTGGTGAAATTCCCATTGTTACAATATCTCCAGTAATATTTCAACTTCAAATTTTAGACTCTTTTAGTTTAAAATGCAAACTACAGTAGAATGGTTTTTCAAGGGGAGTACTTCCAGGTAGGATTTCATCACTCTGCCAACATCACTGATATCAAGGAGAGATCTCATTACTCGAAGAAGATGGTCCTTGCAATGAAATCTTTATGCCTCCCCGCCATCACCTCTCAAATTCAGATGTTGAAACCTAACGCCCAGTGTGATGGCATTTGGAGGAGGGATCTTTTGGGAATATTGTGTATGTGCTCAGTTATGTCCAACTCTTTGAGACCCCGTGGGCTGTAGCCCACCAGGCTCCTCTGTCCGTGGGATAACCCATGCAAGAATACTGGAGTGGGTTGCCACTTCCTCCTCTGGGAGATCTTCCTGACGCAGGAATCAAACTCACATCTCCTGTGTCTCCTGCATTGGCAGTTGGATTCTCTGCCACTGCGCCACCTAGGAAGACCCTGAGGGTAAAGCCCTCATGAATGGGATTAGTGGCCTTAGGAGAGAGACCCCAGAAAACTCCTTTCTCCCTTGCACACTGTGAGGATACAGCGAGAACAGTGCATGAGTGAGGAAATGGGTCCTCACCAAACACTGACTCTGTCAGTACCGTGATCCTGGACTTGCCACCCTCAAGAACTGTGAGAAATGAGTTTCTGTTGTCTGTAAGCCCCTGGTCTATGGCATTTTGTTATAGCAGCCTGGATGGATGAAGACAATCCCCTTCTCTGTCACTGTGGTATCTGCACGGCCAGTGTGAACTGCTAGAGGGTCACATAACCCAACAGAGACCAGAAATGGAAGGAAGAAATGCCAGATCTAAGTTATACTAAATGATTCCATGACTTTTACTTTAAGAGACTCTTCCATGTGGAAATCTACCCAACCTCCTTGACTCCCTTCCCCAGATCTTCCTTCTGATGCTCTAAGCATCCCTTCCTGCATCCATGGAGCCTGTACCTCTGCTTTCCTTCTCCTCTGCTCGAAACAGAAGAGCTGCTTCCACCCTCTTGCCTAGAACTCTCCCTCTCCAAGAACTTGATTATTTGGTAACTGCAGTCTTTTAATTTGGGGTGAGAGTTGGGGAGACAGTCTGCATGAAGCAAGATGCAAAAATAACAACACAATGTATTATTAATAAGAATTAAAAACAAATGTCTACAATCTCCAATTTTTATTACCAGCACTTCACTTATTGCTTTGGGAACTTTTGGCTTTTTTGTTGTTGTTTTTGCTTTTGTTTTTTCCCCACCAGAGCAGGAATACTGAAAATCTAAATATGCAAAAAATAAAAAGTTTTCAAAAGGGAAAAACAGAAATGCTGATGTTGTCTAATGATGCCACAAGTTTACTCCAAAATTGCTCAATACCCCATAATGGAGGAGGGAAAATTGATCGTCCTCATTATCGCTGCAGCTCTGTCAATACCAATATTGCCTTGTTTTGAATAAAATGTGCTGGTTTTTTTTTCAATGTTGGTTCCAGTAAAATGGGGTTTTAGTGAAAATATGAGCAGTAGCAGGAAACCAGTCTGGTTTCTCCCTCTACAAATGGATTGATTTTCCTAACGCGCATTACTTCCAATGCAGGAAGGGGATGGTGGTTCAATTAGGACTTAGTGGTAAGCGCTTAGGGTCACCAGTGGACTGGACCCGCAAGGCAAATTATCACAGAGAGACGTGCGGGGCTGCCTGTAGGAGTTTTCTGCTTTCTCCACTTAGCAGCTGAGTCTTCATGTCTGTCCTTGTCCAGTTGTGGATGTTTAGTCTTTATCTGTCCCCCACCCGCCTCTTTCCTGGTCCAGATTGATACAGCGGTTCCAGAGCCCAGTGAGGGTTAGGTCCTGATGGAGTCGGTCCCTCCAAGGAGGTGTGGGCTTTGAGTACCTCAGTCCAGAGTGTGTCTTCTGGACATTAATCACACAATCCTGACACAGACTAAACACCATCAGATGACCAGCGTCTCCTTCCCCCAGACACTTAGAAAGAACTAGGGACTTCTACTGAGTTGCTTAAATGTGGATTAGTTGCTTACCTCTTGCCTAGAACTCTCCCTCTCCAAGAACTTGATTATTTGGTAACTGCAGTCTTTTAATTTGGGGTGAGAGTTGGGGAGACAGTCTGCATGAAGCAAGATGCAAAAATAACAACACAATGTATTATTAATAAGAATTAAAAACAAATGTCTACAATCTCCAATTTTTATTACCAGCACTTCACTTATTGCTTTGGGAACTTTTGGCTTTTTTGTTGTTGTTTTTGCTTTTGTTTTTTCCCCACCAGAGCAGGAATACTGAAAATCTAAATATGCAAAAAATAAAAAGTTTTCAAAAGGGAAAAACAGAAATGCTGATGTTGTCTAATGATGCCACAAGTTTACTCCAAAATTGCTCAATACCCCATAATGGAGGAGGGAAAATTGATCGTCCTCATTATCGCTGCAGCTCTGTCAATACCAATATTGCCTTGTTTTGAATAAAATGTGCTGGTTTTTTTTTCAATGTTGGTTCCAGTAAAATGGGGTTTTAGTGAAAATATGAGCAGTAGCAGGAAACCAGTCTGGTTTCTCCCTCTACAAATGGATTGATTTTCCTAACGCGCATTACTTCCAATGCAGGAAGGGGATGGTGGTTCAATTAGGACTTAGTGGTAAGCGCTTAGGGTCACCAGTGGACTGGACCCGCAAGGCAAATTATCACAGAGAGACGTGCGGGGCTGCCTGTAGGAGTTTTCTGCTTTCTCCACTTAGCAGCTGAGTCTTCATGTCTGTCCTTGTCCAGTTGTGGATGTTTAGTCTTTATCTGTCCCCCACCCGCCTCTTTCCTGGTCCAGATTGATACAGCGGTTCCAGAGCCCAGTGAGGGTTAGGTCCTGATGGAGTCGGTCCCTCCAAGGAGGTGTGGGCTTTGAGTACCTCAGTCCAGAGTGTGTCTTCTGGACATTAATCACACAATCCTGACACAGACTAAACACCATCAGATGACCAGCGTCTCCTTCCCCCAGACACTTAGAAAGAACTAGGGACTTCTACTGAGTTGCTTAAATGTGGATTAGTTGCTTATTCTAATGTTGTTGCAGTGTTCTTTATTTGATAATTTTG